GAGTGAGCAAGTGACAGTGAGCGAGTGGCAGTGAGCGAGTGGCAGTGAGCGAGTGTCAGTGAGTGAGTGACAGTGAGTGACAGTGAGCGAGTGACAGTGAGCAAGTGACAGTGAGTGAGTGACAGTGAGTGACAGTGAGCGAGTGACAGTGAGCGAGTGACAGTGAGTGACAGTGAGCGAGTGACAGTGAGCGAGTGTCAGTGAGTGAGTGACAGTGAGTGACAGCGAGTGACAGCGAGTGACAGTGAGTGAGTGTCAGTGAGTGAGTGACAGTGAGTGAGTGACAGTGAGTGACAGTGAGCGAGTGTCAGTGAGTGAGTGACAGTGAGCGAGTGTCAGTGAGTGAGTGACAGTGAGTGAGTGACAGTGAGTGACAGTGAGCGAGTGACAGTGAGCGAGTGACAGTGAGTGACAGTGAGTGAGTGACAGTGAGCGAGTGACAGTGAGCGAGTGTCAGTGAGTGAGTGACAGTGAGTGACAGCGAGTGACAGCGAGTGAGTGACAGTGACAGTGAGTGACAGTGAGTGAGTGACAGTGATTGACAGTGAGTGAGTGACAGTGAATGAGTGACAGTGAGTGACAGTGAGTGAGTGACAGTGAGTGACAGTGAGTGACAGTGAGTGAGTGACAGTGAGTGAGCTGGCAGTGAGTGACAGTGAGTGACAGTGAGTGAGTGACAGTGAGTGACAGTGAGTGAGTGATCGTGAGTGACAGTGAGTGATCGTGAGTGACAGTGAGTGAGTGATCGTGAGTGACAGTGAGTGAGTGAGTGACAGTGAGTGACAGTGAGTGAGTGACAGTGAGTGACAGCGAGTGACAGTGAGTGAGTGACAGTGAGTGAGTGACAGTGAGTGACAGTGAGTGAGTGACAGCGAGTGACAGTGAGTGACAGTGAGTGAGTGACAGTGAGTGAGTGACAGTGAGTGACAGTGAGCGAGTGGCAGTGAGCGAGTGTCAGTGAGTGAGTGAGTGACAGTGAGTGAGTGACAGTGAGTGAGTGACAGTGAGTGACAGTGAGTGAGTGACAGTGTCTGTGAGTTCAACTGATTGAGAGTGTGAATGAGTGAGAATGAGTGGTAGTGTGATTTAGTGAATGAGTGGAGAGTGAGTGAGAAGGCGAATCCTTCAATGAGTGCCAGTGAGTTAGAGCTTGGTGAGTGTGAGTTAGTTAATCATCCATTGATTACCAAGTATCAGTCAGTTACTAGCGGTAACTAGCCCATGTAGCAACAAGTATTAGTTACTGTCCCATGTAGCATCACATACTGTAGTAGTCGGTGACTAAGCCATACAGCACCAAGTATCAGTCAGTTACTAGCCCCTGTAGCAACAAGTGACAGTGAGTGACAGTGAGTGAGTGACAGTGAGTTATAGTGAGTGACAGTGAGCGAGTGACAGTGACAGTGAGTGACAGTGAGTGACAGTGAGTGAGTGACAGTGAGTGAGTGACAGTGAGTGACAGTGAGTGAGTGACAGTGAGTGAGTGACAGTGAGCGAGTGACAGTGAGCGAGTGACAGTGAGTGACAGTGAGCGAGTGACAGTGAGTGACAGTGAGTGAGTGACAGTGAGTGACAGTGAGCGAGTGAAAGTGAGTGAGTGACAGTGAGTGATATTGAACGAGTGACAGTGAGTGAGTGACAGTGAGTGAGTGGCAGTGAGTGAGTGAGTGAGTGACAGTGAGTGAGTGACAGTGAGTGAGTGGCAGTGAGTGAGTGGCAGTGAGTGACAGCGAGTGAGTGACAGCGAGTGAGTGACAGCGATTGTGAGTGAGTGACAGCGAGTGAGTGACAGTGAGTGAGTGACAGTGAGTGACAGTGAGTGAGTGACAGTGAGTGACAGTGAGTGAGTGACAGTGAGTGAGTGACAGTGAGTGAGTGACAGTGAGTGACAGTGAGTGAGTGACAGTGAGTGAGTGACAGTGAGTGAGAGTGAGTGAGTGACAGCGCTCCACTCGTGGCCCTCGCTCTTGGGGTTTAGTGTCACAGGGACAAGAGGGTTTCTCTTTACTACAAACATCAACTTATTGTTTATCACAATGGTGCATTTTAAACAATCCCAGCTGGGGATCGAACCCAGACCTGTGCAGTTCAACAGGTGTTGGTTATCTCATTGTGCCAGAGCAACTCGGCCTCACTCTCGTGACGTCTTTTTTAGTTAACAACAATAGTTTTGTGTTTCAATGAATGTGGATTTCTATTGCCTATACAGCAAGAGAGAGAGTGGCTGTTGTGTTGAGCAATGTAACCACAGTAGCAGCAGCAGCTGCTGCTACTGTGGTTGCGCAACAGAATCCGGTCTCCAGCAGCAGCTGATTGGGATCCCATTCTGCTGGCGGCCGATCAGATCCAGATTCCAACACGCGGAGTGGATCTCAGCGGCTGGGATTCGGGGTCAGGCCGAGCGCTCCTACAATCAGCTCCTATGGGGGCCCCGCACCGTGCACTGCGATGTTGAAGTCAACACCATCATCATCATCACAATCATCTCCATCATCATCATCACAATCATCACCACCACCATCATCATCACCATCATCTCCATCATCATCACCACCATCATCATCACTCATCGTCACAATCATCACCACCACCATCATCATCACCATCATCTCCATCATCATCACCACCATCATCACCATCACTCATCATCACCACCATCATCATCACTCTTCTTCACCACCATGACCACCACCATCATCACCATCATCACCACCATTATCACCAACATCATCAGCACCATCATCATCACCATCATCACCACCATCACCATCATCACCATCATCACCATCATCATCATCACCACCATCACCATCATCACCATCATCACCAACATCACCATCATCACCACCATCACCATCAGCCACTGTCCATCCACTGCTGGATGAAGGCCTCCCCAAAGCGTCCCATGCATTGTTACAATCTCAAACAAGTTGCAATGAAGCTACTCGCTTGCTCAGCCCCATCCCATGGCCCAGCCGACTGGGCAGCTGAGTGGGCAGCTGAGTAGGAAGCTGAGTGGGCAGCTGAGTGGGAAGCTGAGTGGGAAGCTCAGTGGGATGCTGAGTGGGCAGCTGAGTGAGAAGCTGAGTGGAAGGCTGAGTGGGCAGCTGAGTGGGAAGCTGAGTGGGAAGCAGAGTGGGAAGCTGAGTGGAAGGCTGAGTGGGCAGCTGAGTGGGAAGCAGAGTGGGCAGCTGAGTGGGATGCTGAGTGGGATGGTGAGTGGGCAGCTGAGTGGGCAGCTGAGTGGGATGCTGAGTATGAAGCTGAGTGGGCAGCTGAGTGGGCAGCTGAGTGGGATGCTGAGTGGGAAGCTGAGTGGGCAGCTGAGTGGGCAGCTGAGTATGAAGCTGAGTGGGAAGCTGAGTGGGCAGCTGAGTATGAAGCTGAGTAGGCAGTTGAGTGGGAAGCTGAGTGGGATGCTGAGTGGGCAGCTGAGTGGGATGGTGAGTGGAATGGTGAGTGGGAAGCTGAGTGGGAAGCTGAGTGGGAAGCTGAGTGGGAAGTTGAGTGGGCAGCTGAGTGTGAAGCTGAGTGGGCAGCTGAGTGGGATGCTGAGTGGGCAGCTGAGTGGGCAGCTGAGTGGGAAGCTGAGTGGGCAGTTGAGTGGGCAGTTGAGTGGGCAGCTGAGTGGGCAGCTGAGTGGGCAGCTGAGTGGGCAGCTGAGTGGGATGGTGAGTGGGAAGCTGAGTGGGATGGTGAGTGGGAAGCTGAGTGGGATGGTGAGTGGGCAGCTGAGTCGGCAGCTGAGTGGGAAGCTGAGTGGGAAGCTGAGTGGGCAGCTGAGTGGGCAGCTGAGTGGGCAGCTGAGTGGGATGGTGAGTGGGAAGCTGAGTGGGATGGTGAGTGGGAAGCTGAGTGGGATGGTGAGTGGGAAGCTGAGTGGACAGCTGAGTGGGCAGCTGAGTGGGCAGCTGAGTGGGAAGCTGAGTGGGCAGCTGAGTGGGCAGCTGAGTGGGATGGTGAGTGGGAAGCTGAGTGGGATGGTGAGTGGGAAGCTGAGTGGGATGGTGAGTGGGAAGCTGAGTGGGATGGTGAGTGGGAAGCTGAGTGGGAAGCTGAGTGGGCAGCTGAGTGGGATGGTGAGTGGGAAGCCGAGTGGGATGGTGAGTGGGAAGCTGAGTGGGATGGTGAGTGGGCAGCTGAGTGGGAAGCTGAGTGGGCAGCTGAGTGGGCAGCTGAGTGGGATGGTGAGTGGGAAGCCGAGTGGGATGGTGAGTGGGAAGCTGAGTGGGATGGTGAGTGGGCAGCTGAGTGGGAAGCTGAGTGGGCAGCTGAGTGGGCAGCTGAGTGGGATGGTGAGTGGGAAGCTGAGTGGGATGGTGAGTGGGATGGTGAGTGGGAAGCTGAGTGGGATGGTGAGTGGGATGGTGAGTGGGAAGCTGAGTGGGCAGCTGAGTGGGCAGCTGAGTGGGAAGCTGAGTGGGAAGCTGAGTGTGAAGCTGAGTGGGAAGCTGAGTGGGAAGCTGAGTGGGCAGCTGAGTGGGCAGCTGAGTGGGATGGTGAGTGGGCAGCTGAGTGGGCAGCTGCACGGAGTTCCGAAGGATCCCTGACAAAGCCAGAGGCAGGCCCCAGCCTGGCGCTGCGCTGCACACCGCACGACGCTCATCATCGTCACAGCAGCAGCAGCAGGCGGTTGTTGTCACTTCTGCCGTGAACAGGAAACCCACTTCCTCAGCGCGGTTCTCAGCGTCGCTTGCGCCGTTAGTCGCCGTCGATCCACGCTGCTGCGTCGCATCAGGACGCGGTTTGTGTTGCGGTTCGTCACTTTTGTTACGTTGCATTGGAAACTCAAACTTACCGACTTCAAGTATTGCCTGCAACTCGTTTATGTTGTTTCAACAGGAACTACGTCTGTGCATCTTATTTGTTATTATGCTTCATCATAAATGTAATTTTATTACATTTTATTGGTAGTTGATTTTCTTATTTAATCCTATGCATTGACAAGTCCAATGTAGCTGTAGAATGAACCTGATGCTCGCTGTGGTGACTCATTGCAGGAATCCAAAAACACGCTGAGGTATGCGGTTTCAACTCTGGGAAACCTGAGCATGGTTCCGGAGCTGAAGTCGTGCTTCCACCAGGAGCTGGCGGCGGACGTGCTGGCCTGCTACCTGGACGTTCCAGACGCACCCTGCAAGCTCGCCGCTCTGTTTACCCTGGCCAGGGTCTCCACTGAGCAGGACCTGGACATCATCTGTAACGCACAGGGTGAGGAGGAGTCTGACCACAGGCTGCGTGACCACCCTTGGTATGAGGGGCACTGGGGCCGAGGTGTGTAGTCACGCGGCCACTTAGCCCCCGAGTGGCCACTCAGTGCCGGTGTCTCTCTGTGTGTGGTGATCGACCGCGACTCACCGCACTCTCCCTGGGTACAGAGCGCCGGTGACAAACCGCGTGATTGCGATAGGTTATACGGCGTGCATAGCGCTGTTTGTGTGATGTGTAATCACTGTGCCACTCCACGCTGGTGTAGATACGCCAAGAGTAGTGAAGGATCATCTTTGAAGTAATATTAAATGTAATATAATAGTTATAATTACCAGGAATGCTTCAATGGGTCTCAAAGTACAGTTTCAAGAGGGTCCTGTTTGGGGATGTGTGGTCAGTTTTTTGAGCGTGTGACTTTTCCTGTCTAGGTTGTAGAGATCACCTCTGAAAATGTTGCAGTGTGCATGCATTACTTGCTGCTCAGTCTCCTGACCCTGTCACGTGACGTCCCCTTCATGCTCCTGCTGTGAGCTGTGTATGCTGTTTGCTGCGGTGTACTGGAATGTGCTGTGTGTGCTGCATGTGTTGTGTGTGTGCTGTGTATGCTGTGTGTGCTGCATTTGCTGTTGTGAGCTGCCTGTGCCGTGTGTGCTGTTTCCTGCATGTGCTGTGTGTGCTGTGTTCTGAGTGTGTTGCTACTGATGTGTGTATAGTGTGCTGTGCCCTGCCGTGTGTTGCTTGTGTTGTGTGTGTGTGTGTGTGCTGCGTGTGTTGCGTGTGCTGCTGTGTGTGCTCACTAATGGCACTTGCGCTAATATTCTGTTAAGGCTATACAGTATGGGGGATCCCTGTCTGTGTCTTTGCTGTTGTTGATGCATATAAGTGCTTTCTGAACTTCGATTTAAAGCTTTCGTGACTGCAGGGATTCATCATCTTGGTTCTTTCGGTAAAGTCACGTAGAAGGGAAGTAATAAAATAATAAAAATAAAACATAATAAAATAATTCTCACGTTGTTTCGGCCACAACGCAAGTAGCCGTCTTTAGGTGAAACCAGGTCTGTCGAGGCGACAGCGTCTGAATGAAACAGCACACGTGCTTGGAGCATATATATAAGCTGGGTTGGAAGGGGGGGGGGGGGGAAAGGGAGTGCCTTGACAAAAGAATTTGCATATCAGGTATGTGATTAGTACTACTTGTGTAAGTGCATTATGCAGGATTAGCAGCATCCAAGGGAGGGGATATGGGAAATGCAGATATGTGATTAGTACTACTTGTGTAAGTGCATTATGCAGGATTAGCAGCATCCAATGGAGGGGATATGGGAAATGCAGATACGTGATTAGTGCTACTTTGCCCGTGCATGATGCAGGATTAGCAGCATCACAGGGAGGGGATAGGGGTAGCATTAATAAAGGGAAGAAGTGTTAATAGTATCTAGCTGCAGTAACTAAAACCACCAAGTAAACAACTAAAGTATAAACTACATAGTATCATCATTATACTAGATATACTCTACAATAAGCTGAGTTACTAACAGTAAGTAATACATTATAATTCTACGTCATAAAATATAATATGCTTCCATCTAAACTTTATTCTCTTACATCACACGATTCTACACCATACTATATATTGCCATAGACAAGCCCAAACATTAAATTATATACTGTATTGCTATAAACCACCCTATATACCTTATCCATTGTAATATTACACTATGTATTATTCTACCCACCCTAATGTATATCACACTGCTGTTTATTCACTATACAATTACGATACTATATATTACTTTGTACATTGTATTAAGCATATACATTTTTTTAACTATTTGTTATTATACACTGTACCGTTGACCGTCGTGTGAAAGATACTGAGAGGAAGCAACAAAATACGTCAATGCAGCGGAGCAAAGAATCCATTCCCTGCGGAGAATACAATGCCAGTGAGTGGAACGTGGTCTGAAAGTCACCGTAAACTTGAACACAATCAGAAAGAACCAAGAAGATGAATCCCTGCAGTCACGAAAGCTTTAAATCGAAATTTAACTGCCTCTACGGGGAGGGATTCCACACAACTTTGAGATCCTTCAACAAGCTCCGTGATAAGAAGGCTCAGCTAATCGAGTCTCTCACCTTTCTGAAGAGATGCCGCGACTCTAAGGTAATACCAAATGCATTTACACTAACATCTGCTGCTGTAACTTCTTCTAATGCTAAACGAATTCTTTCTAGAACTAGCTTAGCTCTTATCTCAGAGAAAATCAGACTTACGCGCACCGATCTAGATCAGTTAGACAAGACACTCTACAAATCACACTTATCTTTGAGTGCAACAATGTCCACATCGGATTGGGAACATGTAGACAAAATGACTGCCTCTTCAGCTGCCGCTATGTCGACCAAATGTAAGGACAACTTGATTTCAAAATTCAACCGCCTCTCAAACAAGAGACCGGACCCACACATTGAAAAGCTAGACGTTAACAAAGTCGTAATTAATCGCAGTAACAGTTTTATTTCTGAAGGTCTGAAATCCGTTTTAGCTAAAGGACTAAACTTTGCAGTCACACCTAGACACATACCAGTTAATGATATAATTGCCCGAGTAGATGTAGCTCTCAAGGGCCTGAGTCACATCGCTGCAGACGTAGCAAGATCTGAAATCTCTGCAACCCTCAAAAACGCTAAGATGCCTGCTAGCAACATCAGCAAAGATGAGCGTTTTGAATTAGCTCAATTGAAAAAGAGGGATGACATTGTTATCCTCTCAGCCGACAAAGGCAATGCCACTATCATCATGGACAAAATAGAATACAACAACAAAATTCAAGAACTACTCAACGATGGCAGCTATACAAAAATAAAAAGAGACCCCACCAACAGCCTCGTCATTAAAACCAAAAACATCATTTCTGCTTCAACCGCATTAATTGATCAGACCAAACAGTTCTCGTTGAAACCTTCTGCAGCCAGGCCACCAAGATTATACGGCTTACCAAAGATACATAAAGAAGATACACCTCTTCGTCCCATTGTCTTTACTATCAACTCCCCCACATACAAACTGGCTCGTTTTTTGTCTGAAATCCTACGGCCTTTCACTGGAAAAACCACCTCTGCGGTACTAAACTCTACTGACCTGGTATCGACAATCAAGGGGATTGCCCTGTCCCCAGACGACCTGCTTGTCAGTTTTGATGTGGTTTCCTTATTCGCCAAAGTTCCTGTACCTGACACCATCGCAATCATTGAAGACTTGGTTCATCAAGGACTGAATACTGGGGTACCCCCCCTGGTAAGACACTGCTTAACCAATACATACTTCACCTGGAATGGAACTTTCTACAAGCAAACTGAGGGCATCCCAATGGGCCCCCCTATCTCCGGTTGTAGCCAACATTTTCATGGAGAAATTTGAGACTGACGCCATCCAGACTGCCACTCTACGCCTGACCCTATGGAAGAGGTACGTAGATGACACTTTTGTCATCTGGCCACATGGCCGTCCTGCTCTGGACCAATTTCTCGACCACATCAATTCCATACACCCAGCCATCAGATTCACCATGGAAGTCGAAAAAGATGGCAAGCTACCCTTTTTGGATGTCCTAATTAAAAGGAGACCTGATGGATCAATGAGCTACTCTGTCTACAGGAAAGCCACCCATAAGGAGTTTTACCTAAAACCGGATTCCCACCACCATCCATCCCAGAAGAATTCCCTCATCAAGACTCTATACCATAGAGCCCAATGCATATCCGACCAGGAACACATTGCCAGTGAACTCAAACACGTACGCCAAGCTCTTAAGGCTAATGGTTACTCCGACTACACAATCCGCAAAGCCATCATTCCAACCATCAAGAAGGATCCCGTTGAGGAGCCTTTCAAGACCATCACCTTACCCTACATTGCTGGGGTCACAAAAAAGATCTCCAAAATCCTGATAAAACACAAGATCCAGGTCCGATTCAACACAGTACATAAAATCCGTGATCTGGTCCCGTCTGTTAAAGATGTGGTTCCAGACATACAGTACCCTGGCGTCTACAAACTAAGTTGCCTCTGTGGTAGCAGTTACATTGGAGAAACCAAACGACATGTCTCGGACCGCATCCGTGAACATAAAGCAGACTTAAAACACGGAAGGACAAACACCTCAGCCGTGGCAGATCACTGTTACAATTCAGTGGGCTCACATGATATTGACTTCTCCAAGACAGAGGTTCTCTGCAAGCCATCTGGCTACCATGAGAAATTCGTTCATGAGGCTATTCACATATACAAACACAGAGACAATTTAAACCGAGAAGATGGATTATGGCTTAGCAATCATTGGAAGGACATAATAAACCATTTCGGATCTTAACTGATTGTGTTCAAGTTTACTGTGACTTTCAGACCACGTTCCACTCACTGGCATTGTATTCTCCGCAGGGAATGGATTCTTTGCTCCGGGGCATTGACATATTTTGTTGCTTCCTCTCAGTATCTTTCACACGACGGTCAACGGTACAGTGTAAAATAACAAATAGTTTAAAAAATGTATATGCTTAATACAATGTACAAAGTAATATATAGTATCGTAATTGTATAGTGAATAAACAGCAGTGTGATATACATTAGGGTGGGTAGAATAATACATAGTGTAATATTACAATGGATAAGGTATATAGGGTGGTTTATAGCAATACAGTATATAATTTAATGTTTGGGCTTGTCTATGGCAATATATAGTATGGTGTAGAATCGTGTGATGTAAGAGAATAAAGTTTAGATGGAAGCATATTATATTTTATGACGTAGAATTATAATGTATTACTTACTGTTAGTAACTCAGCTTATTGTAGAGTATATCTAGTATAATGATGATACTATGTAGTTTATACTTTAGTTGTTTACTTGGTGGTTTTAGTTACTGCAGCTAGATACTATTAACACTTCTTCCCTTTATTAATGCTACCCCTATCCCCTCCCTGTGATGCTGCTAATCCTGCATCATGCACGGGCAAAGTAGCACTAATCACGTATCTGCATTTCCCATATCCCCTCCATTGGATGCTGCTAATCCTGCATAATGCACTTACACAAGTAGTACTAATCACATATCTGCATTTCCCATATCCCCTCCCTTGGATGCTGCTAATCCTGCATAATGCACTTACACAAGTAGTACTAATCACATACCTGCATTTCCCATGGGTATGCTGGATTCCTCTTGATATGCAAATTCTTTTGTCATGGCACTCCCTTTCCCCCCCCCCTTCCAACCCAGCTTATATATATGCTCCAAGCACGTGTACTGTTTCATTCAGACGCTGTCGCCTCGACAGACCTGGTTTCACCTGAGGACGGCTACTTGCGTTGTGGCCGAAACGTCGTGAGAATTATTTTATTATGTTTTATTTTTATTATTTTATTTCTTCCCTTCTACGTGACTTTACCGAAAGAACCAAGAAGATGCTTTCTGAACTGTGTGTGCTGAATGTGCTGCATGTGCTGTGTGTGCTGCAGGAGCCATCTCCCTGCTGACAGACATGGTGAACCGGCCTTCATACAAGGACTTCACGCTGCTGGAGAACATCCTGTACATGTCCACGGAGCTGGTGAAGACTCTCACCCTGGTCTCCATCACGGCCGGCATCCGCAGGAAGGTGAGGAGGCCTCGCGCTCCGTGCCGCGGGCTCCTGGCCAGGCGACAGCGGCCGCTGTGCTGATGGCACCAGGGGAGAGCCACGTGGGGCAGCAGCGTGGCTCTTGTAGAGAGAGAGGGGGATGGGGTGGGGGGTGGGGACAGGGGTGGGCGCGGTGGGGGCGGTGGGGACGGGGGGGCGGTGGGGACGGGGGTGGGGGCGGTGGGGACGGGGGGCGGGGGTGGGGGGCGGTGGGGACGGGGGGGTGGGGGCGGTGGGGACGGGGGGCGGGGGTGGGGGGCGGTGGGGACGGGGGGTGGGGGTGGTGGGGACGAGGGGTGGGGGCAGTGGGGGCGAGGGGAGCTGTGCCCAGACACCAGCAATGACGACACCAGAGCAGGCAGGACGAGGGTCTCTCCATACACACAACGCTCACGGGAGCAGCGCTACGACCAGTGCAGGTGATTGACTCATGGATGTCAATAATTATATCCACTCATTGACTACAACTTGAGACGTAATGTTTAAGGAATTAAAATATATATTGTTATAATTGGTCATCATAACTTGCGAGTACACATAGAGCGTAACATGGATGCAGGATAATGTACTACGCTGCTTTTGATGCTTGGATATTTACAAGATGCGTGTTTGTCCATGAATGGGCAGTTAGACAAGTCTACAGCTACACTCACGTCTACACAGCATCACAGCGTTCATACAAATCTGGCTACTGGGCTGAACCCGACCCCCGCGTGGTTGGTGTGGCAGCTGTGAACATCCCAGTTGCTCCACTCTGAGTCACTCCATGTGACTGGGTAGAGTGACTCTGTCCAGATTCTCACAGACAGCAGATCTGTGTGTTTACTTTGTTTAGATGGAGGATTACTTTGTTTAGAATCCACTTGTACTGCCATCCCCTGGCAAGCCAGGAGGTGGTGGCCTGGCTCCCGTGGGAGTTTCACAAATTTGTGCGATCCGCCAACCCTCGCCTCACAGCGCTGGGTCACGGTGCACAGAGCCCCCGGCGCTACGTGGGGTCACTTGTGAGCAATATTCAGCGTCGGACCGTGACGCCGGCTCGCACCACCGCTGGTTTTCAATCGCGGATCTTTAACGTCGACCGTGAAGCAGGCCGCGTGCACGTTTGGTGACTCCCCCTGCGGTATTAACCAGGGCGGCCCCTGGGATCAAACCCTGAGGCTCCGCACGAAGCGGCGACCGCGCCACCGCCGGGACCCGTCAGCCCCCTCGCTGCCAGCGGCCGTCACTCAGCACGGTGCACGGCTGGGAGAGTCTCTGTGGGAACTCGGTGGGGTGGTGGGGGGCTCGGTTGGTCTGGGCCCCCCTCAAGTAACACCGGGGGAGCCCAACGGCACCAAACGTCTCCTCTAGCAGAGCAGAGCTGGGCACGGCGACACAGGGGATGAGTCTACGCAGATTCACAGCTTCTAGCAACACAGCGAGTTTATCAGCTGTGCACGTTAAACAATATACATTAAATAACAAGCATACATTGACAATAGCAGTACAGGAACAGTAAACAATAACTCGGTATAAACAATCCAACTAAATTTGCAGTCAGATCATTTCAGGTGTGGAATGAAACACTAATCAACAGTAATTAGTTTCATTTATTCAGAATCACAACTCAATTCATCAGACGCTGCAAGGGATCTGCGTGCAGGGGCCGCGTTGAAGCGCAGGAGAGAGGCGACGCTGCTACACACGAGGCCACCGCTAGTGGAGTCCAGGCGCAAGGTGCCCCCTTTGGGACACGGCAGGGGGTGCCGAGGCTCGCACCGCAGGGACTCGCGCGTGGAGTTCGTGCGGCGGAGAGACTCGGGGGTGACCGCCCAGGAAACAAACTCCCCAGGCGGTGCTCGTCTCCTCGTAGCGCCGGCAGGAGGCAGCCGGGCACGCGGTAGTGGTCACGCCGGTGGGCGGAGCGGTCTTCGCGCAGAGGGACGCGCCGGAGGGAAACCCGGCCCGGACTCGGCGAGGCCGTGGCGCGAGCCGATCCGCGCACCGCCACCACCGTGCGTCCACGCGTCGCGTGGCCGTGATCGGTGACGCGGCCACAGGGGCCAGTGACGCGCCGCTAGGGAGCGGTTCGCGACGAGCGTCGTGTGCTCTCTGGGATGGAAGCTGCCGTGGAGTCGTGGTGAGGAGGGTGCTGGACTCGCTATCCACGGGTCGCCGGTTCGATTCGATCTCCCGGCGCGGCAGCTGAAACAGCGGCGCAAGCTTCTTAAACCCCCGCCTCTGCTCGCTTGGCAGTAGATTGCTCATTCCAGTGAGTTGATAAGGAGGCCACGTGTGGTGGGGTAAAGTGTGGGTACTCTCACGTCTTCCAAGATGTCTGGGCAGTGTGGAAGAGTAGACCAAATACACTCGAGAGGGCCTTTCTATAGCTTCCTCTACAAGAGACCCTTCTGCCAGCAGTGGAGTGAGCAGGCACCTGCAGGGCTGCACCTCTACTTAGTGCTTCTGTACAGATGGATAAAGAGTTGTAGGATTTGACATTTCCCAACACACAACGTGGTTCATGATATTGCTTCATTTCATCTCTGCCTGCTCAAACATAAAACAGCTTTCAGAATATCCAATCCTGTTGAATGTTATTGAAGTCCAGGTGTCATGTGGATGTTCATTTGATTCACAGTTGTGGCTGGCTTATCCAGTCCCATGTCAGTATAACAAGACCTGTCGTAGTGAGCCAAGTCTGAGCATCGTTCTCTACATCTGTGAGGAGAACAACAGCAGCAGCCACAGCACTGAGCCCGGAGGAACTCGCTTGGGAACTGGGGAGGAACCTGAGGAGTGGCTTCTGTCCCCCTCCTCGTATCGCTCCTCGTGCTGTGGCCGCTCTTGTCGCTGGAGCTGTGGCCAGCAGGGAGAGTGCCGGGCCCAGGGCACACTCGGCCTCTGATGTATTTCCAGATTACAAACTCGCCGCTTCTTTTAAACAGAATGTTAGACAAAACACGTAAATTAAACGTTGGTCTCATTAAATTATTGGTGTTGTGTACAGCCCCTGCTGTCTATAAACGATGGGGGTCGGATAATTTTCTATTGTTGGCACTAACTGTGGGGAAATCGGTCGATTCAAAAGTTGCCAAACCTCGGTGGTAACGGCGCTCGACGCCGAGCGGATCTGCCGGACGGCGTTGAGGAGCGGCGGAGCTGCAGGGGCCGAGCGAGGCGAGGGCCTCCTCCGGTGAACAGAGACACCGCGTGAGCAGCAGGGCACTCGGTGCTGCTTGGTTGGTGCTGTGCTTGAACTATTGTCAAGGACATGGCAATTAAGGGGCCATCCATAAATGACGTCACGCACCTGGGGGGGGGGGGATCAGACATTTGTGACGATGTGTGACGAGGGGGGGAGGGAAGGGGTTTGAGAAATGTGACGTCACATCAAAATGCGCAACTTTTAATAAATATAGAATTGTTATAACAACACTAATTTTGATTAATTTTCATTATTAACTATTTGATTATATAAATTTACTAAGATCACCTTTTATTTATTCTATGAAGGAACATTTTGCTTCTCCATGGGAGAATGGAGAAGCATAAATTTATTAAAAAAATTTGAATGATTGTTATTAAACATTTTGATTTTTAATGATTCTACCAGGGCTTTTCATTCTGTGGAATGAATATGTGATTGTAAGAACTATACTCTCCATTTAGTACGTGTTTTCTCCTACAACATCAGGGTGCAGTGCCACATTAAATACGCACTACAATGACAATAGTTTAAAGTGATTTGAAGTATGTTTTATTTTCAAAATGGAAATATGGTTTTGGGCGGGGGGGGTGCAGAGCTTTGTGACGTCATATTTGAAGGGGGTCTGACGTTTTGTGACGCCGTGTGACGAGGGGGGGGGGGGGGGGGGTAAAAAATCGTCCAAAATCGCGTGACGTCATTTATGGACGGCCCCTAAATAGAACCAAGCAGGTTCCACACACAGAGCCTCTAAGACTTATTCTCAGTTTCTATTTTCTATTTCTGAAATCATTTTAAAATGGTCAAACGTTTCAAGCATCTTCTTATATGCTTCCTGGAGAGAGTTATAATGTTTATCCAGATCTAGTTGACCTTACATGATGGTTATTCATGATTTCTAGACTACCCCCACCGCGTGTGTGTCGAGGCTGTGATTAGCAACACACATGTCAGCGTCCTGCAGCGCTGCACCAGGGCAAAGCGCAGCTGCCCAGCGGCGTCGCGTATCTTATGACGCGACGCGTCCGGCACCACCTGGCAGAGTCCTGCAGCGTGCTGCACACAGCGTAGCAGGGCCCTGCCCCGCTCACCACACAGCCCTCGCCGCACTCTCACCGGCGCAGGCGGCGGCACCGCTCGCGGTCTCCGCGTCGAGTGAAGCTCCCTGCCATAGGAACCGGCGAGAGTCCACGCACAGTGGTTGGGCAGCCTCTGCGGGGCCCTCTGGGAGCGGCGTGGAGAGCGCCGTGCGGCTGAGAGGGCAGCCGGGTCACAGCGGCACTGAGTGGCTCCTCTCATGGGGACTGCTGCAGGCGCACAGCCTCACTAAGAGATCCTGCACTCACGACTCGCAGAGAGCACTGAGCTAGACACATGGACCATTGAGTCACCCTGTGACTCATCTCTGTCTCCCAGGGATCACTGATACACAGGGTGACTCATCTCTGTCTCCCAGGGATCACTGAGACACAGAGTGACTCATCTCTGTCTCCCATGGATCACTGAGACACAGAGTGACTCATATCTGTCTCCCAGGGATCACTGAGACACAGGGTGACTCATCTCTGTCTTCCAGGGATCACTGATACACAGGGTGACTCATCTCTGCTCTGCTTCTAGACGGAGGGGGCGAGCTCAAGTCTGGACAAGAAGGTGCTGGAGGAGCTCATCCCGAAGGTGAGGCCTATCCAGGGAGACCTGGGAGTGCACAGTTTGCAACATTCATTCATTTAGCACGTGCATAACGTTCATAGAATACATGAATACCAACTTCACATGTTATACACTCTGCTCGTAGCGATGACCATTTCATGACGGCCAGCCTGAGTAGGTGAATGCCATGAGCAAGCACCTATGAAGGTCAGTGCAGCATGGAGTCTGGCGGAGCCTGCGTCTTGCTCACCGGCTCTTGCGCTGCATGGGCAGGGCCGTACGCGGTGCTCATTGTAGGTTGAGTCGGCCGAGGGGAGGCTCGCGTCAGAATCCGTGCAGCCCCCTGGTGTTGTCCATGCCTGGGAGCAGGAGCTGTGTGGACGGCCATCCCACTGCTCACTGCTGCGTCCCTCGGGGTCTCTGCCCAAGGGCAGCTCCATGGCTCAGGCTCCATCCCTCCACCCCCCCTGCTCCCACTCCACCTCTTCACCCCACAGCACCGCACTATTTACTGGGCCTCTTGAGCCATGACGAGGGAGGTATGGGTCACGTGGGTTCCCATTGCATCTCTCCACCGTGTAATATCAGCGACACATCACCAATACCTCAGCATCAGGTCAACAATGCTGATATCAAGTCGAGAACAATCCCAGTCTGACAACTGAAGAGAGAACAATACAAACGTTGAGCTGCAGGCGAGGTCGGACGTTCAGAACGTAACGGACGTTGATTGAAGACGCCTCAGGGGAGAGCAGGCGCTTGACCAGGGCCATCGCTGTGGCCGAGCGGGGGCCGATCACAGGGGAATGGCAGCGCGCTGCCCCGAGACTCGGCCCAGAACCACGGCTCCGTGGGACCCGCGGCTGTGGCCCACAGCGACGCTGTGAAAGCTGGGAGCTCCTCCAGAGCGATCTGAAGAGGAGACGTCAGCGTGCACCACCAGAACCTTCCACGTTTTCCAGTGCACAGCAGTGGATCTAGCACTAAGGAGTCACAGGGCCAGTCGTAGAGACGCATCGTGATGCCGTGGTGATGGCCATGTAGCTGGAGTGTGCATGAGTCACTGCTGTGGTGATGCACTCTGTGTCAGTGTGCATGAGTCTCTGCTGTAGTGATGCACTCTGTCTCAGTGTGCATGAGTCACTGCTGTGGTGATGCACTCTGTGTCAATGTGCATGAATCACTGCTGTAGTGATGCTCTCTGTATCAGTGTGCATGAGTCTCTGCTGTAGTGATGCACTCTGTCTCAGTGTACATGAGTCACTGCTGTAGTGATGCACTCTGTGTCAGTGTGCATGAGTCACTGCTGTAGTGATGCACTCTGTGTCAGTGTGCATGAGTCTCTGCTGTAGTGATGCACTCTGTCTCAGTGTGCATGAGTCACTGCTGTAGTGATGCACTCTGTGTCAGTGTGCATGAGTCTCTGCTGTAGTGATGCACTCTGTCTCAGTGTGCATGAGTCACTGCTGTAGTGATGCACTCTGTCTCAGTGTGCATGAGTCACTGCTGTAGTGATGCACTCTGTGTCAGTGTGCATGAGTCACTGCTGTAGTGATGCACTCTGTGTCAGTGTACATGAGTCACTGCTGTGGTGATGCACTCTGTGTCAGTGTGCATGAGTCACTGCTGTAGTGATGCACTCTGTCTCAGTGTGCATGAGTCACTGCTGTGGTGATGCACTCTGTCTCAGTGTGCATGAGTCTCTGCTGTAGTGATGCACTCTGTCTCAGTGTGCATGAGTCACTGCTGTGGTGATGCACTCTGTGTCAGTGTGCATGAGTCACTGCTGTAGTGATGCACTCTGTCTCAGTGTGCATGAGTCACTGCTGTAGTGATGCACTCTGTCTCAGTGTGCATGAGTCTCTGCTGTAGTGATGCACTCTGTGTCAGTGTGCATGAGTCACTGCTGTAGTGATGCACTCTGTCTCAGTGTGCATGAGTCACTGCTGTAGTGATGCACTCTGTCTCAGTGTGCATGAGTCACTGCTGTAGTGATGCACTCTGTGTCAGTGTGCATGAGTCACTGCTATAGTGATGCACTCTGTCTCAGTGTGCATGAGTCTCTGCTGTAGTGATGCACTCTGTGTCAGTGTGCATGAGTCACTGCTGTAGTGATGCACTCTGTCTCAGTGTGCATGAGTCACTGCTGTGGTGATGCACTCTGTGTCAGTGTGCATGAGTCACTGCTGTGGTGATGCACTCTGTCTCAGTGTGCATGAGTCACTGCTGTGGTGATGCACTCTGTGTCAGTGTGCATGAGTCACTGCTGTAGTGATGCACTCTGTCTCAGTGTGCATGAGTCACTGCTGTGGTGATGCACTGTTTCTCAGGGTGCATGAGTCACTGTTGTAGTGATGCACTCTGTGTCAGTGTGCATGAGTCACTGCTGTAGTGATGCTCTCTGTCTCAGTGTGCATTAGTCACTGCTGTGGTGATAAACTCTGTGTCAGTGTGCATGAGTCACTGCTGTAGTGATGCACTTTGTGTCAGTGTGCATGAGTCACTGCTGTAGTGATGCTCTCTGTCTCAGTGTGCATGAGTCACTGCTGTGGTGATGCACTCTGTCTCAGTGTGCATGAGTCACTGCTGTAGTGATGCACTCTGTGTCAGTGTGCATGAGTCACTGCTGTAGTGATGCTCTCTGTCTCAGTGTGCATTAGTCACTGCTGTGGTGATAAACTCTGTGTCAGTGTGCATGAGTCACTGCTGTAGTGATGCACTTTGTGTCAGTGTGCATGAGTCACTGCTGTAGTGATGCTCTCTGTCTCAGTGTGCATGAGTCACTGCTGTGGTGATGCACTCTGTCTCAGTGTGCATGAGTCACTGCTGTAGTGATGCACTCTGTGTCAGTGTGCATGAGTCACTGCTGTGGTGATGCACTCTGTCTCAGTGTGCATGAGTCACTGCTGTGGTGATGCTCTCTGTCTCAGTGTGCATGAGTCACTGCTGTGGTGATGCACTCTGTCTCAGTGTGCATGAGTCACTGCTGTAGTGATGCACTCTGTGTCAGTGTGCATGAGTCACTGCTGCAGTGATGCTCTCTGTCTCAGTGTGCATTAGTCACTGCTGTGGTGATAAACTCTGTGTCAGTGTGCATGAGTCACTGCTGTAGTGATGCACTTTGTGTCAGTGTGCATGAGTCACTGCTGTAGTGATGCTCTCTGTCTCAGTGTGCATGAGTCACTGCTGTGGTGATGCACTCTGTCTCAGTGTGCATGAGTCACTGCTGTAGTGATGCACTCTGTGTCAGTGTGCATGAGTCACTGCTGTGGTGATGCACTCTGTCTCAGTGTGCATGAGTCACTGCTGTGGTGATGCACTCTGTCTCAGTGTGCATGAGTCACTGCTGTAGTGATGCACTCTGTGTCAGTGTGCATGAGTCTCTCTCACTCAGCTCTCTCTGTGTTGTTTGTTCCGCTGTGCAGCTCAGGGAGAAGCTGAAGGTGGAAGTGGAGAAACGAGGTGAGGAGCATTCCCATCACGCCCTGCCCCCACCTCACCATTAACACTCACCCTACTTACTTCACCGTGAACTCTGACCCTGCACACCTCACTGTGAACTCTGACCCTGCACACCTCACTGTGAACTCTGACCCTGCACACCTCACTGTGAACTCTGACCCTGCTCACCTCACTGTGAACTCTGACCCTGCACACCTCACTGTGAACTCTGACCCTGCACACCTCACTGTGAACTCTCACCCTGCTCACCTCACTGTGAACTCTGACCCTGCAGACCTCACTGTGAACTCTTGACTCTGCTCACTTCACAGTAAACACTTACACAGTGTGCATGCTGTGCTGTGTGTTCTGTGTGGTGTGCGTGTGCTGTGTGCGTGCTGTGTGTGCTGTGCGCTTGCAGTGCGTTAATTAATGTTGACCCACCCTCCCTAAAGCCCCCATCCTCACCGTTTAAAGTCTATAAAAGGTGATGTTAATGATTAAATTAAACATCACCAGCATCATTATATAATATTTTTTATGCACCCAATATTACATCGCATCTTGAATTGCCTGCTAAAGGGTTTAATGCCCACAGAGCAATCCACGCAGCAACAGCCAACACAGCACAGAGAAACAATTACACAGCGCAGCACACAACGCGAGTCCAGTTGTAGCCCCTCGTGATGCCACTCGCTTCCTCCTGCAGCACAACAATGCCTAGCGCAGAGACGACTTACAATCCCCTCAGTTACAATCCCCCCAGTTACAATCCCCTCAGTTACAATCCCCTCAGTTACAATCCCCTCAGTTACACTCCCCTCAGTTACTCTCCCCTCAGTTACAATCCCCTCAGTTACACTCCCCTCAGTTACACTCCCCTCAGTTACACTCCCCTCAGTTACACTCCCCTCAGTTACAATCCCCTCAGTTACACTCCCCTCAGTTACACTCCCCTCAGTTACAATCCCCTCAGTTACAATCCCCTCAGTTACACTCCCCTCAGTTACTCTCCCCTCGGTTACAATCCCCTCGGTTACACTCCCCTCAGTTACTCTCCCCTCAGTTACAATCCCCTCAGTTACAATCCCCTCAGTTACACTCCCCTCAGTTACAATCCCCTCAGTTACACTCCCCTCAGTTACAATCCCCTCAGTTACACTCCCCTCAGTTACACTCCCCTCAGTTACAATCCCCTCAGTTACACTCCCCTCAGTTACAATCCCCTCAGTTACACTCCCCTCAGTTACACTCCCCTCAGTTACACTCCCCTCAGTTACAATCCCCTCAGTTACAATCCCCTCAGTTACAATCCCCTCAGTGGTGTGGTCCTCACTGCCCCGTGCTCTGGGCTCCCCGCTGGGCTCCGTGAGTCTCCTCCCTGTCCGCGCTGGCGGCACGCGGCCCTGCGCTGTCACGGACTCCCTCACCCAACCCCATCGCCACTCTCACCCGCTGCCTTCACTCGCATCTTGGGTCAAATCGACGTTTCTCCTGGCAAATGTTCACGCACGGTGAAGTCCTCCTCGGCGGCAAATACTCCGGTGCGAGCGCGCTCCCCCTAACCACTGACAAGGCACTGGGAAAGAGGGTGCAGAGCCTCAGATGCATCATCGCGTTTTGTTCTCTACACACGAAGCTCCACTCTGCCAGATCCCTTGCCTCCACCTTGCCTAACCCCAGTGGCTGCTGAGATACTCACCCACCCTCACCCACCCTTACCCACCCTCACCCACCCTCACCCACCCTCACCCACCCTCACCCACCCTCACCCACCCTCACCCACCCTCACCCTCCCTCACCTATTCTCACCCACCCTCACCCACCCTCACCCATACTTTGACCTTATCACGACTCGACTACTGCAACTCTCTCCTCTACCTCCTCCCCGAACTTCTCATTCACAAACTCCAGGTGACTTCTCACCACACCAGCACACGAGACCACATCCCCCGACCCTCCGATCCCTCCGCTGGCTCCCAACCCAATCCCAGATCGATCTGCAGATCACACCCACTCTCTTCATGATCCTCCATGGACTCACTCTTGTCGTCCTCTCCCCTCTCATCTCACTCTACTCCCTCCACACACTCTCCTACCTCTCCCCTCTCATCTCACTCTACTCCCTCCATGCACTCCCCTACATCTCCCCTCTCATCTCACTCTACTCCCTTCACGCACTCTCCTACCTCACCCCTCTCATCTCACTCTACTCCCCTTCATGCACTCTCCTGCCTCTCCCCTCTCATCTTACTCTACTCCCCTCCACACACTCTCCTACCTCTCCCCTCTCATCTCACTCTACTCCTCTCCACGTGCTCTCCTATCTCTCCCCTCTCATCTAATTCTACTCCCTCCATGCACTTCCCGACCTCTCCCCTCTCATCTCACTCTACTCCCCTTCACGCACTCTCCTACCTCTCCCCTCTCATCTCACTCTACTCCCTCTATGCACTCCCCTACCTCTCCCTTCTCATTTCACTCTACTCCCTCCACATACTATCCTACCTCTCCCGTCTATCTCTACTCCCTCCATGTACTCCCCTACCTCTCCCCTCTCATCTCACTCCACTCCCAGTCACGCACCCTCTGCTCACCAACAAGGTATTCTGTTGAATCCCCCAGTCAACATTTGCAAAGTGGGAAGCCGCTCTGTCCTTTGCCCCAGGGTCTGGAACTGCGTTCCCCCAGACGTCTGTGCTGTCAACCCCGTGCCCATGTCCAAGTCCTGGCTCCAGGCCCTCCTCTCCTTCTCTGCCCACGTGTGACGGTCTCTTAGTCTGTATGAAACTCTCCTCTCACCATGATGCACACGAGTACCACTGGGTTGTTAGCGTCTGCAAGCCGTTAGATGTAGGTGCCGTATACGGCGATCGTAATGCAGGGAACACCCAGACACCATCCGGATATTTGGAACGCATTCACAGAAACGTACCACTCCCCTGCAGAGGCCAGGCCTTCAAACAACAACAACATTCGTAGTCACAGAGCTCGATTCCTGCTCACGGCCACCAGCACCAGTGACGATTATCTGAACCGGTCGACTCAAAATGAGCACTTGGTTTGGTGTGCATACATCTCGACAAAGGAGACAAAGGCGGCCGGGCGTGGTGCTGGCCACCCACCCCCTCGTGTGCCGTTCCAGCCTGCATAGGTGCTCGCAAACAGCACTTGCGCCAACAGTCTATTAAGGCTATACGGGGGATCTTTGTCTTTGTGAGTACCAGTGAGTGAGTGGCACTGCCCCGTCTCACCCAGACTACACGCTCGAGTGGGGAGACATCGCCGTCCACCCCACGCGTCGCTCCGTGCAGAAGTGGCCCAAGGCCGGGGACGGCTGCATCTACATCCCCTACAAAGTGTCCGTCGCCTTTTGTGAGTGGCCTCGCCTCCTCCCCCTGGTCCCCCACTCACCCCCACTCTGTACTCCCCGTGGTCCCCCACTCACCCCCACTCTGTACTCCCTCTGGTCCCCCACTCAGCCCCACTCTGTACTCCCCCTGGTCCCCCACTCACTCCCTCTCTGTACTCCCCCTGGTCCCCCACTCACCCCCACTCTGTACTCCCCCTGGTCCCCCACTCACCCCCACTCTGTACTCCCCGTGGTCCCCCACTCACCCCCACTCTGTACTCCCTCTGGTCCCCCACTCAGCCCCACTCTGTACTCCCCCTGGTCCCCCACTCACCCCCACTCTGTACTCCCCCTGGTCCCCCACTCACCCCCACTCTGTACTCCCCCTGGTCCCCCACTCACCCCCACTCTGTACTCCCCGTGGTCCCCCACTCACCCCCACTCTGTACTCCCTCTGGTCCCCCACTCAGCCCCACTCTGTACTCCCCCTGGTCCCCCACTCACCCCCACTCTGTACTCCCCCTGGTCCCCCACTCACCCCCACTCTGTACTCCCCCTGGTCCCCCACTCACCCCCACTCTGTACTCCCCGTGGTCCCCCACTCACCCCCACTCTGTACTCCCTCTGGTCCCCCACTCAGCCCCACTCTGTACTCCCCCTGGTCCCCCACTCACCCCCACTCTGTACTCCCCCTGGTCCCCCACTCACCCCCACTCTGTACTCCCCCTGGTCCCCCACTCACCCCCACTCTGTACTCCCCCTGGTCCCCCTCTCACCCCCACACGTGACGACTCACGTGACCCTGAGTCTCCGTGTCTCATCGCGTAGACGATGGCGACGTCAAGAAGATTGAGGAGGCGGCGTTGGAGTTTGAGAAGAAAACGTGCGTCCGGTTCATCCCTCGCTCCAGCCAGACCGACTACATCTACATCCACGCGTGGGACGGGTGAGACAGAGACACGGACACGACAAAGACACGAACACTATAGACACTACAGAGACACGGACACTACAGAGACACGGACACTGCAGAGACATGGATACGACAGAGACACAGACACTACAGAGACACGGACACTACAGAGACACAGACACTACAGAGACACGGACAATACGCAGACACTAATAACACAGAGACACAGACACTACATAGACACGGACACTGCAGAGACATGGACACGACAGAGACACAGACACTACAGAGACACAGACACTACAGAGACACGGACACTACAGAGACACGGACACTACAGAGACACAGACACTACATAGACACGGATACTGCAGAGACACAGACACTACAGAGACACAGACACTACAGAGACACAGACACTACAGAGACACGGACACTACAGAGACACAGACACTACATAGACACGGATACTGCAGAGACACAGACACTACAGAGACACGGACACTACAGAGACATGGACACTACAGAGACACGGACGCTACAGAGAATAGTGAGTGAATGGGGCTCAGTGCTCAGGCTAGGGTTGTCTCTGTGTGGTGAGGGAATGGGGCTCAGTGCTCAGGCTGGGGTTGTCTCTACAGGAATTGGTCGTTCCTGGGCCGTCAGGGCAGGGACCAGGCGCTGTCCCTGGAGCCCGGCAAGGTGACCAAGGGCATCGTTCTGCACGAGTTGATGCACGCGCTCGGCTTCCACCACGAGCACTGCCGCAGCGACCGCGACGACCACGTCTTGGTGCTGAGCCACAACGTCAAGCCCGGTGAGAGGGACAGACAGCGCAGTTCAATTCTCAGCCATGGCCATCATCAGTGACGAGTGATCTATGAGCTGAACCTAGGCCACCGCCTCCACCTTAAACAACCCACCCCCATGATGACACAGTGTGAATAGGCTAATGTCCAACAGCAGATTGATGAAGGCTCTAAGTTATGAGTCAAATTAACGGTGTCAACCAAAGTGTTCGTTGTGTTAGAGAGTATTGCCCTTGGCTCTTTGTGATAATGTGAGAAGCTGTATACCTTTAATGACCTTGTCATAAATTAATATATTTATTTTCAGAGTGGGTGGATGCTATTGTGAAGACAACCCCCCATGAGCACAACCTAAGGACCCCGTACGACTACAGCTCCGTCACCCACTACGGCATGTACGTCTCTCGGTGTGCCGGCATGCTGTGCACTTTGTGGAGTTCCTGGAGCCAGGATAGACGTGGCCAGGTCTTGGAGGGGAAGGGATGGATACCCAGCCGTGGACCATTACGAACTTTAACCACTTTCACCAAACGTCTGTGCAGTTAGCCTCTGCAGCAGGCCTGGTGCACCACGAGGTCACATGGCCTCGCTGTGATGGCCCCTTGGCTCGAGGTCGTGGGGCAGATCCAGGTTCTCTGGGTTGACCCGTTGAGTTCCTGGCATCTGCCCAACATACCAGGTACCAGACAAGAGCCGAGTCCACTCAGGTCCAGTTCCTCCTGAGCCCCACCAAGCTCCTGCTCTCAGCTCCTTAGCTGTGCGTCCATGGCCTATTGGTCTGGTCTAAGAGCAGCTGCTCGTGCTGTACATGTAGATACAGGTCCCCACCTCCACAGCTTCACTTGCTACAGTATTTTATTATCTGTATTATAATCCTTTTGTGCATCTTACATTTGCTCTGTAATATTATGAACACGATCTACAACTGCTGAAAGTAGAGTCATTGCAACGTCCAATGGGCATGAACTACATCAATGTTAGAAGGACTTAATAAACTCACAGTTGGGCCCAGTACCAAACTTATTTCACTTACTCTTTGGTTCTTTCGGTAAAGTCATGTAGGTATAAAATAAAATAAATCACGACGTTTCTGGCGCAACACAAGCGTCCATCATTAGGTGGGAAAACATGATCTGCTGCTGAGGCAGACTGTTTTCAAAGGTTTGAAATGGGTGTAGCTCAAGGGTTATAAAGAAGTGGTCGGGGCTAGTAATGTTAATGTGAGAAATTAGCATGTAACTGTAAGGTAGAAGAGTGACCTCCTAAACGAGGGCAACGGAAGTGGCCATGTAAATGTGAGGGATTAGCACGATGTTAAAGTGAGAAATTAGAGGGCACGGAAGTGGCCATGTTAATGTGAGGGATTAGCATGATGTTCAAGTGAGAAATAAGCATGTAACTGTAGAAAAGAAGGAGAAGAGATGGGCCTCCTCGACGAGGGAGTGCAACCCAACAGGTATAATACGAAGGGCCTGTGAGTATGAGAGTGCAATCCAAAAGACATGTGAGCATGAGAGTTCAATCCAAAGCCAAGAGAGTGCAATGCAACGGACATGTGAGCATGAGAGATCTAAGAGAGAGGCATAGAGAGAGAGACAGAGAGTCGAAATAACAGCTAACATATGCATGTTGGATGGACACATCACAGTCGGTTAAGACTTTACCTGGTTAATAACGTCCTTCCAATTATTGCTCAGTTTGTACCCATCTTCTCAGTTGAAGTTGTGTCTGTGTTTATATATCTGGATGGCTTCATGAACAAATCTCTGAGGTAGCCGGTAGGTTTGCAGAGTACCTCCGTCTTGGAAAAATCAATTTCGTGTGAGCCCACAGCGTTACAACAATGATCGGCAACTGCAGAGGTATTGGTCCTTATTTCACTTGTTCAACAATGTCAGAGAGACACAACTGGGAAACACATCAATGTCTGTACATTTATCTCTGTTTTTGAAGACATCCCGACAGCAAAGTGATGAAGTACAGTGGTGGACAAGGGCAGGCTGGAGTGCTTCTGGAAGGCTGAACTAGATAACGAAGAGTAACATAGCAATGTGTCTCGTCAGTACAGTTTGTGATCAGTGTGTCTAACCTGCTATGACATATCTGGCTTAGAAACTTGTACATTGTCAAGAAATTTTAAAACATTTCCAAAGTGCACAAAGAAGCTTGGGGAGATGATTTCTACGGTTACTGTCAGAGACAGAACGAGGAACACTTGTGATAGAGAACATACGTAGGTTAGAGATGTGACATTGATGGTTAAAAAAGCAAGTGAGCTTGGACAGGACCCGCCACTAGACGGAATGATGGCTGCTGGTCGAGACTAAAGATGGAGTGACAGCCAAGGGAGGCTGTGAGGACATCGGCGATGAAATCGGCTCCTGTGCGGTGCTGGACGGACTGCGCGTCGCGGCAGCGTGAGGGGTGGTGATGACTTGGGGAGGCTTTCAACAGCTCAGGGATTGTCCATGGCTGTGATGAGGATTTCATTCACAAGAATAGTGCATTGCTTCATATTGTACCGGCCAAAACCCCACTGAATGACAAAATAAATTATGACTTTAGCTGCTTTACAATGGAGACGTTGGTGTCAAATTGCTCTTATTTCATTGGCAATGAACTTCAATTTTAAATGACTCCGCAGGACCGCCGGCTCGAAAGATGAGCACAGCCCGACGCTGGTGCCCAGGGACACAAGCACCATGCGTCGCTTTGGAGGTGGCCACACCCTGAGTGAGGGCGACGTGGAGAAGATCGAGAAGATGTTCGGCTGTGAGCCGGCACCACGGGGACCCAGCGACGCAGCTCCAGCGCGGACGCTGGGTGAGAGACGCACAGCTGGAGAGCTCCGTGAGCAAATCATATTGTAGTGCAGGAATAAGATTCTTGATTGTCAGCCCGTTGAGTAGTACTGGCAGGGCAGGTGTAGATACGGATCTGTGATTCATGGCTACATCATCCTTGGGAGCCCCGTCAATACACTTTCTCAGAGTATGCGTTTTTGTACATTTGAAACTTGGTTATTTTATGAGGCAATTGTTTACAAGTTACGTTTGGCCAGGCCGTGTGTGCGCTGCCTATGCACCGCCTTTGGTTGTTCACGACGAGAGATGTCACCAAGTCAGTGCCCGTTCTCCTCTTTCTCCCTCTGCATTTGTTGATTAAAGCGGTGAGGAGTCGCCTGGTCCAGTACATCATCATCATCGTCGTCATCCTCATGATAATCCTCTACTGCATCGTCCATATAACAACCACATGTCACGAGTGTATTCGTCTAGCACGAATCACGAGGTACTACAGAGAGAAGCCATCAGCTGAGACGATGTCCGACGTGGAGGCCCTGCCCTGAGACAGCAGGCGGCTCGCAAGGCGGGGCCTCTGTAGCTCTGTGCGCCCACAGAGCGAGCCGAGCGACTTCGGCCACAGCGCTGGCACAGCCCTGGCGCTCGCTCCTCCCTCGCTGCCCGGCCGGGTCGCCCACCTCTCACTCGGCCAAGCAAACACGTGGCTCCCGTTGGTGCAGAGCCATCGCTGAATAACACCGTGTGAACTTGAGGCCAGATTTTAGCGGGTGAAGTTGATTACAATAAACATTCATAATGCGTAGTATATGGGGAAGTCTCCTCGTTGCATGAGCAGCAGAATATTCTCTGTGTTCAGCATTCATGTTGCTGTGATATGATAAACATCATTCTAAGAGATGTCCTGAGAAACCTGGGGCTTCAGGTGATCTTTAAAAAACAGAGGTGATAGCAGTGGCTAGGGATGGGTCTGGGCACCTTCATCGAAGGTTCCACGGTAAGATGTGAGACTTTATCGCAGTCAGGCATGACAACTCAAAGGCTTCGTTGTATTTATGGAGTCATTTGCACAACACTGGGAGTTGTGATAAGGAGGTCAAGAGACAGTTTGCTAGTAGGGCATGGATTTTGATGGGTTACTTAAAGCACTTGGGAAGAGTAGAGATGTGAATGTTTACGTGAAGAGTTGTGTGATGCAGGGGTAGTGGCCCGTGTTACTGTATGGGTCAGAGAGCTGGATTTGAACATAGCAATGGGGAAAGAAGCTGCTGACCTCTGAACGCAGTTACTGGCAGAAGATTATATACATCCATAGCAATGTAGGGGAAGCAACGTGGATGTTCAGAATAGAACATATCAATACTGTAGAGGGTTGTAGATGCAATCATGAAGAGGAAGTGATGATTGTCACGCATGGGCAAGCCATTGGAGGCAGCACCTAAGAAGACTTTAAACCATACGATAAGACAATGTAATAAACACCTTAGAAGGCAGGTGTCAACTTGATTATTGCAGCAAATCTGTCAGAAGGAAGGAATTGATTGTGGGTTGTGACCGATGTGGTACACAGAGGCACTTGAACATTGGGACCCTTTGATCAGCAGATGATAATTATGGTAATTATGATAATGTTACAAAGCCTTATACCTACAGAGCATTACACCCACAGAGCCTCATCCCCACAGGCAATGCAGTCCCGTAGTGTTTGAAAATGGTGTTGTCTGTACTGCCGCGTGTGTTGACAATCTTGCCTATGTGCACTCTGCGCGAGCTTGTTCGCTGATTCATCTCTGCTTTATCCCAGCAGGAGCCAGCGCTGCATACAGAGAAGCTGGTGTCTCAAGCCACAAAATGACGGTGAGGTCTGCAGCAAAATTCCATGATCTAGCAGAGCACAGCCTGACTTCCGTAGAAATATTTTTATTTAAAGTGAAGAAAACCTACAGCCTGAGCTGTCCCCATATAAACCCTCGTAACACTCGCCATGACAAGGCAGGTTAATTCCATGGGGTAGTGGCTCAACCAAGCGGTAGGGTGTTTGCCGCTTGTTGCAGAGGTACAAAGTTCAAATCCAGCAGCCGCTCTGATTAATACTGCTGGTGCATTAGCTATAAAAATATGTGGCGTTTGCTTTACAGTGGACATGAACGATGCCGTGGTTTACATTTTCCAGATTTCTGAAATTGGAATATACATAGCATTCATCATCTCCTTCTGTGGGGCGCCACGGTGGTTAGATATTATCGCCATCACCTAGTATGCAGGAGCTCGTGCCATTCCATCCTGACACTGAGGTCTATATATTTGGAGTTTGCCTGTTCTCTCCATGGTCGCTTGAATTTTTCTCCAGGCCCTCCCGTTTTTCCCTGCATGTTTAGAAACATGCATTTAGATTATTTGGCTTCTATAAATTTCCACATGATAAGCCGCTTCGTTGTGCTCTCTTTTGTGGCCAGATCTCCTCTGAAAAGAGCTATATAGCTCAGTGGCCTTTACCTGGTATATATTATAGTAGTTTATTTTGATTGTGAAAACTAAGCAGGACCCTCCTGGGTAAACAAGTGTGATAATTATGAAATTCCTTTTCAGTTTTTTTTTTATAATTTCCTGTTGCCTAATTATGATTTCTTCATTTTATTTCAGCTTCCCCGTGCTCCAGAGAAGAAAGGGAAAGGTACGCACCACGGGGCCTTGTTCAGGTTCACGGGGCCCACGGGAGGAATCCACCTCCACGTGCCCAGTGCAGTGAGCACAGCGCCATTCTTGATCGGCCTCCATTGCCACCACTGTTACTTGCGAACATTTACTGCAGCCTGGCTTCAGGCTTTCTGACTGAATGCGAGAGACTCGGACAACAAAGTCACGTTGAGCCTGGTGTGGTGGAATGCACCCTGTAGTCCCACTCCTTGGGGCTGTGGGGTGAGGATCGCACAGACTTGTGAGACACCCACACCTGCTTGGCTGCAACCAAACGGCAGTATGGCAAGTGCATTGAATCCATCTGTGTGGAGCTTTCAGTGGTGTTCCTGCATATGTATTGGATTTCTGTGGGTACTCTGGCTTCCTCCCGCATGCCAAATAATGAACTGACCAAACAAAGGGTATAATTGTCATTGTGTTAGCTGACTTGTGCGAAGTGTGCACATTGCATGTCAGGCTGTGCGAGGAGAGATTCCCACGTGAGCATTCTGCACCCCCCCCCCCTCTCTCGCTCTGGCTTCAGAATTCATCGGGTGTGGAGTCAAGGAGAGCAGCCTCTCACGCCCAGTCAGGCACTGGCCCAAGAGCGGCGATGACCATGTGTACATCCCCTACAAGGTGTCCAAGGACTTCTGTAAGTGTCGCATTTACCCCATGAACTGTCAGTGTGTTAGTGCTCTGCGGCAGGGCTTATTTAACGCTTTTTTTTTCTTATAAGCAACACCGTAGTCTCATCATGATAGCTGAGTTTGAGAGGCTGATTACCTCTAAATGTACATTTCCTTTTTATGGGAATAGTCTCGATAACTCGTGTTTACAAGTGTTGCCACTGTCCTGGTTCAAGTTTGTTGTATCGTTTACCCGCACTCGTCACGCGTGCTGTGAGCCCTGCCCACACGCATGTCGCTTGTGGGAGAGCGGCAGACAACCTCGCTCCCGTGACCACGCCCTGTGTGGGCGATGCCACATGGACCGTACCCCTGCCACTGTAATGATCACAAATTTAATTTGAATTATAATATTTGGTGAATATGAAAATGCACTTTGATGACTATAAGGGATCAACACATCATAGAATATACATATTTCTAGCATAGTTATTGCATGATTCATGTCTCAGAACATTGTTTACCTTAATTAAAACGAATAAATAACTTTTTCAGTTACTGCCATTAAGCTTGCAAAGATACATTATAAAGGCGTCATTACGTATGCCTCGATCACTGCAGTACGTTTACAAGTCGGTGTGTAATGTCTTACTCTGTTTTAAACATATCCCTGCCCATAACAGTGAAGACAAGACTCTAGTCTCCACTAGATTTGGATTTTCTGAGTAGACCTAAAGCCAGCATCTGGCTGTTTGGGGAGATGGGTTTCATGAGCCCGAGCTTGTGCGATTTAGGGCAAAGCATTATAATGATAACATGAGCATTTAATTAATATCAAGGTGTTTGAACCCCCTATGTGTATTAATCAGTGAATATTCATGGAAAACTATGTATGAGCATTGCAACGAAGTCCAGTGCTATGAAATGTCTCACTGTCTTGCAGATGACTACGATGTGAAAGCCATCGAGCAGGCTGTAGAGGAGTTTGAGAAGAAAACCCACATGCGATTCCGCCCTCATGGCAAAGAGACGGACTTCATTCACATCCAGGCCTTGGAGGGGTGAGGATTTCACATCCTATACCCACATACTGTACACCACTTCAGCAATCCACAGCCATTACTCACATTTACAATTCTTATCCAGCACTCAATTCATTTTGACATCCATAATTCACATGCCCTACTCACATCATCTGCTTGCATCCATTTATTTCATTCAAAATGGTCAAGTTAGTTTAATAATCACAGACATTTCATAATCAGGGCTATTAATATCAGTGAGCAATGGCTGGCATTGCGAGCCAGCCTGTGTAACGTGTGCAATATCTGCCGTTTTTTACGGCTGTGAAAGTGTGAGATCTTAAATGCGCTGCCACTGACTGGGCTCAGAGCTCTCTGGGGCTTTGATGGAGCTGTGCGGTGCTAGTGTTGTGTTGTCTGCAACTTGCTGGGACTATGCTGAAGTGGTGCTGAGTTCTCTGTGGCTTGTTGGGGCTGGGCATTGCCAGTGCCGGCCCCCTCGTGGAATCTGTGCAACCTTTGGGACAGGGATAGGTGTAATCATTGTGGTTGGGGTGGCTTGTGTAATTCTGACAGTGGACTGCAGCTGGTCTTGCATCCGCGGTGTAATTGGGGGGGTTTGTTCTTCGGATGTGTTGGTATTGAGCTTCAGTGGCTCAGCCTGAGTTAGTAGAGTTATCAAATCTCTCCTGCATTTTTCAACTCCTCTCTTTTACTTTTTGTCTTGATGATCCTGTTGTTCTCTGAGTCTAGCATAGTGCTCTGGGATGCACTGCATGTAAGCACTCTATACATCTAATCATTACTGGTTATTGATAATTTTTACATCTGGCCACTAGTTATTTATTTCTTTTTTTTGCAAACGGCATATGCAGCATTCTGTGAAGGACATATGGTTCTGTGCAATTCCACATTCTATACCTGATCTGCCTCCATTGGGATGAAGTCTGGCTCATCACAGCCAACCACAAGATGCTGTGCCTTCCTTCTAGCCATTGCCATGTGTTAACCTTGGCCTTCAGAAGTGACGTGAAGTGACTCTGGTGCCTCATACTCGTTCTAGCAGCAGACATCTCAGTGCTGTGTAAGGCTCACATACTTGGTGCCAACCCTCCATTTTTATCGAGTGTTTGGTTTGGCCAGAGCAGTCAGACATGGATTTATGAAATATAAAAACCCCCAACCTATATGAGCACATTGATCTGGCTCTGAGCACCATGTGGGGGCCAGTTGGATGCAGTGCAACATGAACGTCATAGCATCTGACTCGTCACTGCAAATGACATTCATTTATAAAGACCTCCTGTGTAGCAGTGTCGAGGTGCTGGGATTCACCGACTGCCACTTGGCAGGGTGGCACAATACGAGTGTGGTGCCACCTCCGGGTGACATGGAGGATTGAATGCAAATAACCATTTTCAGTTGGGAGATGATGCCACGTTTGATGGCATTTGTGAGTATTGATGAGTGCATAGTCTACATTCATTGGAAGTGCATAAAAAATAAGTTCACAAGAGAAGACCATCGTATCGTACTCTCTTTAATCAGGAGTTATGTTAACTACAATAAAACAGGATGGTGAGAATGTTTTTGCCTTAGCGAGTATAATTGTGCTGCTCTGCAGAGGAAGTGAAAGTGGAGACCTCCAAGCAGATTGGTGGTTTTGGTTTGGGAACTAAAAATGATAGAGATCAAAAAAAGACCAGTAGAATTCTGTAGGTTAAGAAACTTTGCATAGCAAAAATCTGGTTCCACTATGAAATAAATTAATCAATGTACTTGTTAATTACTAGGTGATTCAGGAAAATACCAGTTAGATTGCATCGTGGTCAAACAGACAAACCTAAATAGCACGGTGATCGCTCACGGCTACCCAGGAGCAGACACAGTCTCTTATAATTACTCTATTACTTCGAAGCAGAAATTGAATCAAATAAACTCAAACAAAAGAAGAGATGGAATCGAGATTTATTGAACGTAATACTCTCAAGCACAGAAAATACCATTGTAAAAGAGGTGGGGAGCAGACACGGAAAAAGCCTTGGGTAAAATAGGAAATTGTTATAGATATCAATAAGGAAAAGGAAGAATGCAAAATATGGATGAATAAAGAGAATCCAGGAGAGAGACCAACGAACCGAGAAGAGAGGCTGACAAAGCAAGAGAACGACGGTGGGGAAGGGAATGCCAACAACTCGAGGGATGGAACAGGCAGGGAAGGTCGGGTTTACTGTGCAAAGAAGTGAAGCAAATCACAGAAGAGCGATGAGGCAATACCAGTGGTAGCACACAGGGGAAGCAGGACAAGTCAGAGAAAAGTGTAAAGTACACGTTGAAGATCCATGATGGAATGGGAAGCCAGAGAGACAGGTAGACAAACAAGACAAGGGTCCTGCTATTCTTCAAAGTGAAGTCGTTGCAGCAATCAAAAGTATGAAGATGGGGAAGGCAGAAGGAATCAACGGAATTTATGAATAAAAGGGCAGACTCTTAGGTGGGGGAGCAATACATTAGATTACACTTTGTCACAAGATGTATGAGAGAATGACCAGCAGACTTTACGAACTAAAGTCATACCAATCCCCATTGTTCAGACTTAAGAACAATCAGTTTGAGACCACAATTGTAGATTATGCTGAGAATGATTCAATCACTGACCAAGAGAAAAGTAGAGGCCTACTTTGCAAAGGTCCAGTTTGGGTTTTGGAAAGGATATGATGGAACAGTTAAACAAAAAGTGTAATGAGAATGATCTTTGAAAGGAGCTTGGAGTTGAACCAAAAAGTGTATATGTCTCATTTTGAAAAAGCATTCTAAGGCTAAATGGGAATATTTTGTTCAATTTGCTCCAGATGATAAGAATGGACTGGAAAGATAGACAGCTTATTGCAGCTTTGCACATGAGTCAAACAGCAACAGTGAACATAGCCAAAGGCGAATCAGATAATACAGAAATCTGAAGAGGTGCGATACAGGCGTGCACATTATCACTGACACCTTTGTGGATATGATGATGATGAAGCAGCTTGGGAAATCATGATGGAAAGAATTATTGGAGGTCAGTGAGGTCAGCAGATTTGCAGATGACAAGCAGGTGCTGGCAATTAGAGAGTAAGGGGTGACACGTCTTAGTTTCAAAGTTAATAAAGTAAAAGAGGATTCCGGACTGAAAATAACATAAACAAGAGAAATGAGAGTATGAAGGAGAGAATGCAGGGAAATTAATATTCCAATTGTAGGTAACAAGATAAAAGTGAAAGAGTTCACCCACTTGGGCCGCCTTCTCACATCCGATAGTCGGTGTTCTAAATAAATCAAAATCAGCAGTGGTGGCTGCAGGTTTATAACAAGGACAGGTCATGACAATGGACAGAGCATTCCTAATTTATTTCCCTGATCTTTTGCAGGGCCTTGACAATGACAATTCATTATTTTATGCTGTTGTGCTCAGTCTCCTCTGTTGCATGCAAATGCATTGGCTCATTTACACCAGGATTACAAATCTACATTATCTGAATGCATTAAAAATAATTGCTTGACACCAGTGAATGATTTCTGCTTTCAGGTCTCTCAGCAAGAGCTGGTCGTACGTGGGGAGGCAGGGTGGAGGCCAGGATCTGTCCCTGGAGCCCGGGAAGGTGACCAAGGGCACGGTTCTGCACGAGTTGATGCACGCGCTCGGCTTCCACCACGAGCACTGCCGCAGCGACCGAGACGACCACGTCTGGGTGCTGAGCGACAACATCAAGGAAGGTGAGAAGGCGTTTGTGACTCCATCCCACGGTGCAGGTTGAGCACCGCTCGTGACAGCTGCTTCCGAGCTGCGTCTGGTGCCACGAGTGCCGATCCTCCACTCCTGCCAGAGTGGCTGGGCGCTCGTGGTGCACTCATCTTTTATCAACTGTCCGTAAAATGGGGAACATAAGCTATTTCATACTCTTTGGTTCTTTCAGTAAAGTCACGTAGGTATAAAATAAAATAAATTAAATCACGACGTTTCGATTGCAACACAAGCAATCATCATCAGGTGGGAAAACCACAGCAAGAATTGTTTTGCTGAAGTGGGAGAGAGAGTTGCTGTGGTAAGAGGTTATACAGGCTGGGAAAGGGGAGGAGCAAGGGGGGGAGAGGGAGGGGTAGGGGGTGTGGGGTAGGGGGGGGACAGTGCTGCGTGGTGTAGTGGTACCAGGCGGATATGATAGACGACAACCACTACAAAGCATCTTCTTGGTTCTTTCGGTAATGTCACGTAGAAGGAAAATAATAAAATAATAAACATAAAACATAATAAAATACAATTCTGACGACGTTTCGGACACAACGCAAGCAGCCGTCCTCAGGTGAAGAACAGGGCTGTCGGAAAGACAGCGTCTGAATGAACACCACCAAGCTTGACAGCGTATTTTTATTATTTCCCTTCTACGTCACTTTACCGAAAGAACCAAGAAGATGAATCCCTGCATTCACGAAAACTTTAAATCGAAATTTCACTACAAAGCAGTTAGAGTTTTACCTGGTTAATCACATCCTTCCAATGATTGCTCAATTTGTATCCATCTTCTCGGTTGTTGTTATGTCTATGTTTATATATCTGGATGGCTTCATGAACAAACCTTTTATAGTAGCCCAAAGGTTTGCAGAGTACCTTGGTCTCAGCCACGGCGGAGGAGTTAGTTCAGATCTGCCTTGTGCTCGCGAACACGGTCCGAGATATGTCGTTTCGTTTTCCCAATGTAACAGCCACCACAGGTGCAACTTAGTTTGTAGACTCCAGGATATTGCATGTTATTAAGGATGTTATTAACCAGGTAAAACCCTAACTGCTTTGTAGTGCTTGTCGTCTATCATATCCGCCTGGTACCACTACACCACGCAGCACTCTCCCTCCCCCTACCCCACACCCCCTACCCCTCCCTCTCCTCCCTTACTCCTAACCAGGTAAATCCCTAACTGCTTTGTAGTGGTTGTCGTCTATCATATCCAGCCTGGTACTACTACACCACGCAGCACTCTCCCCCCCTACCCCACACCCCCTACCCCTCCCTCTCCCCCCTTGTTCCTCCCCCTTCCCAGCCTGTATAACCTCTTACCACAGCAACTCTCTCTCCCACTTCAGCAAAATAATTCTTGCTGTGGTTTTCCCACCTGATGATGATTGCTTGTGATGCAATCGAAACGTCGTAATCTAATTTATTTTATTTTATACCTACGTGACTTTACCGAAAGAACCAAAGAGTATTGATCCCTGCAGTCACGAAAACTTCAAATATAGAATGAGCTGTTTCATAGCACAACAACCACATATACTACGTCCGTACCACAACATTGTGTTACACGTGGTTGAGTTTTGTAACAAGGAGAAATATAAATTCTACATTTTTTTAAAAGTATTAAATGGTGAACATTGTTTCTTTGTTAGAATGGAAGAGTCAAATCGTGAAGATGAAATCACACGCGCATGAAGTGTCCATCCCCTACGACTGCAGCTCCATCATGCACTACAGCATGTACGTACCACTCCCTGTGTGTGCGAGTCCTTTACATTCATAATACAAGTGTCTTACACATTCATTATACTAGAGTGTCTCATACGTTCCCTATACTACACCACGTGTGTGTTATACAATCCTTATACTAGAGTGTGTGTATGTGTTATACATTCCCTATATCACACTGTATCTTACAAATTCCCTGTACTACAGTGTACGTGTGTTATATAAGGGGGTAGCTGTAGGTCCCCCCCTTATATTCCACCACATCCACTCACACGGTCTTTACGGTGCTCTGCCTGCATGAATAACAGAGACCAAGCTGAAAAATGACCTCTCTTTAATAACACCAATACCACCACAAACTTAAGTTGTTAAGTGTTGGTAGAGAATTCCTAATCCTGAGTGGCAAGGTGCATCGGGGCAACAATAAAAACAACTTCCCACGACATTCCCGCAGTAGTTGTATTAACACGCCACGCAAGTCCACAAGAGATCAATGTCCGTGTGGTCGCTCGCTCTGGAGAACACGAGTTGCCAAGGCACAGTCCAAGTTGCAAGGGCACAGCTCTTGCAGAAAAGGCCCTGAGTGGATGATGTAAGTTACCTGCATGCTTGGGCAGGTAACATATGCATGTTAGCAGGGGCGGTTGGACCCCACTGATGATTTTCTTTGTCAAGAGCATAGGAGTTAGCACTGAGCTGAGCTAAGCACCAGGGTGGCACGTGTCTGGATGATCGCCGTCAAAGGCAAGTCGCAATGTCACCAGCACCCACGACTGAGCGCCACTGGGAGCACACAGTGGCTAAGAGCGCCTGACCACGTGAGATTCAGCCGAGGGTCCAGAGTTACGCCAAACCTGTAACCAAAGAGATAGGTCGCTTTTTATTTATATTCCTGAAATTCCCTGCTCCCTGTCACACTGGGACACTGTTGCAAGGTAAGCAATTCAGTGACTCAGGACACATTGTTACTCCAGTTTGTTGTCACTCTGTGACTGTGGTTCTTTGTCACACTGCTAAGTCGAGTTCAGCTGGAAACCCTGGGGCTCACTGGTCACTGTGTCGAGGATCTCTGTACAATGTGTGTGTGCACGCATATACATCCCCTAAGCTACAGTTTGCGTGTGTCCCACCATCATTCCCAGCACATCCTGTATTGTAAATACATATATAAATACGCCTGTTTGAATTGCTGGAGTGATGATGGATTATATTAGGTGTGTGAGGATGGATTATATTCGATGTGTGTGTTGCTCGAGTGCCTCTACAGCCGCTAGAGGTGCTACGGTGCACCACAGTAAGAGGTGTCGGGAGTGTGGGGGTGGACCGGTAGCGGCCCCGTGCACGGTGCAGTCACAGTCGTGGTGCTGCTCTCAGTTGCCTCTGTCTGCCCGTGTACAACCACGCGATGCCATTACAGCGTGCATGCACATTGCATTTGTAAAATATGTTCACATTTGCATTTTATTCACGAAGTTTTTCTCAATTATGTCATCAAAAACATTTCCAAAAGAAGAAACAAACTAAAATATTGTACCGTGTATTTGTGATGCATTTACGAAAGCAAATATAGTTTTAATATTGTCAAATGTAAGCAATATGAAGAGTTATAGTAATTCTAAACGCTTTCCACCACAGCTCACTGCCTTGTAGAGAACAACCCGAGCTTGTATTGGCAAGTGGAGCTGTTTCCACACATTGTAGCTCAACGAACTTGTGACGAGTTATACTGTATGTGTTTTACTGTAGACCGGTTCCACATCAGCCATTGTGACTAAGTTCAACGTTGAATATAACACACGTATGCCGCAAAGCGGTGCTTGGATTGTCCACGTGGTTTTGCATTCTGAGTATGGTGACTGGAATCCAGCACTAAAGGCAGCAATGGTGATCACATTGCATCATGTGTGGCAGATTCACAGCCAGCAGGGCTAAGAGATGACCAGTGAAGGTCAGTACAGCAAGTAGGTGCCTGATCTGTAGGGACATTTGAGAGTTTCTGCGTTAGTATTCTCCGGATACTCGAGACTTACACATACAAATGCTGAATAAGGATTTGCTAATTATCCCAATTTGGTGTAATCCTGAATAATTCTTAACAATAAATTAGTTTTTTCATTGATAAAGGACTGGTGTTACATTGTTATAATTTAAGTTTTGGTGAAACATTTTTTCCCTTAGCTTCTGTAGTACAATCTGAAATCTTGCCATCAGCTTGATGTGCTTTCGAACCTGGTTTAATTTCTGGTGGCCACCAGAGAATTTAATGTTGAATATTATGAATACTCAAGTTTCTGAGACCTCAACTTCAGTCATGCTAGGTGAATTGTAATGCTGTTTAGCTCCTGTAAAATGTTTTGTGTTATGTACAAATGTAATCCTTCAAAAAGGGATGTGAGCTTGTTAAAATGTGAAATGGTCCAAATGCACTCCACGGATCGCTGTGCGTATGGATGGTAGAGCGCCCTGTACCTGAGGCTTTGTGCGTGTCCAGGACGGCGGGCTCGGTGGACGAGCGCAACCCGACCATCATCCCCAAGAACCCGCTCCTCATGCTGCACATGGGGCATGGCAACTCCCTGAGCCCCTGCGACGTGGCCAAAGTGCAGAAGCTGTACGGATACGAGACGAAACTGCCGCTGAGCTCCACAGGTGGGTCCACCGAGTGCCCTGGCTGATTGATGGCTACCAGAGCAAGAGCGCTTCAGGGACTGTGGTTCCAATACCAAATACACCTCATGACTGTTACCATTCACTCTCCTTGATATCTCATGAATATTGAAGCTGCATATGAGCCACTAAAAAGTGGCCATGTTATTGGTGATGGCCTCGTGGTGCGTTCTGCCAGTGCTTTACACACGAGGCGCTGTGAGGAGTACGAGGCCCTGTGCAATCTGAACGTGGCGGGGTCTCCCAGCTGAGGGCCGCTGAGACACTGCTTCCCATCACTGACACGATGTCAAATGCCTGATGGTCATAGTTGGGTCCACGCATTTATACCTTACAGGCTCTGCCAGCTCTAAAATATAGCGGGGGTTTAGAAATGATGGCTCCCTGCTGGCAGCAGTGGTGAGCGTCATCACTAATGGATATGCACGCGTGTGTGTTCTGAGACTGTGTTTCATTGTACGATGTATGCCTGTACTTGCATGTGTACTTGTATAAGTGTGTACTTGTATATGTGTGTAGGTAGTGCTGCTTGTATGTGGACATGATTGCACTGTGGTGTGTGACGTCTGTGCTGTAACTTGCCCGAGCAAACACTGTGGTAGCCTTGAGTGCAATGCGTCTCCATTCATTGTGTTTGATGTCCCAGGTGTGGGAGACCGCGAGGGTCTGGAGAGCCAAGTGAGAGTTTGGAAGCGAAAGGTGAGAGGGGTGAGGCACTGAAAGGCCTCCCTGCACACCGTGCCACATGTGCGTGCAGGACGTTGCGTGAGTTAACGTTGCATCATCACAGGTTTGTGAACGCGGAATTCCCTGGTGAGAGGTCAATTCGTAGTCCTCTTCATCGTGGTCACTGAGGAAGGCGGCTCGTGTGTATTATGACGACATCATGCAGTGTTGGCAGTCAGTTCAGTTAGCGCTGGGAGACAGTGCATGCAGTGCTGGAAGAAAGTGCAGGCAGTCGGTGTAGGCAGGAAGTCTAGTCATTATAATCTGCAGTTAGTGCAGTCAATTTGGGCTGACAGGTAATGCAGTCATTGCTGGCAGTCAGTGCCGAAAGTTAGTGCTAGAAGTCAGTGCTCGAAGTCAGTACAGTCAGTGTGGTCAGTGCTGGGAGTCAGTGCTGAAATCAGTACAGTCAGTGTGGTCCACTCATCTCCCTCTCTCACTCCACTCATCTCCCTCCTCCCACTCCACTCATCTCCCTCCTCTCAATCCACTCATCTCCCTCCTCTCACTCCACTCATCTCCCTCCTCTCACTCCACTCATCTCCCTCCTCTCACTCCACTCATCTCCCTCCTCCCACTCCACTCATCTCCCTCCTCTCAATCCACTCATCTCCCTCCTCTCACTCCACTCATCTCCCTCCTCTCACTCCACTCATCTCCCTCCTCTCACTCCACTCATCTCCCTCCTCTCACTCCACTCATCTCCCTCCTCCCACTCCACTCATCTCCCTCCTCTCAATCCACTCATCTCCCTCCTCTCACTCCACTCATCTCCCTCCTCCCACTCCACTTATCTCCCTCCTCTCACTCCACTCATCTCCCTCCTCCCACTCCACTCATCTCCCTCCTCTCACTCCACTCATCTCCCTCCTCTCACTCCACTCATCTCCCTCCTCTCACTCCACTCATCTCCCTCCTCTCACTCCACTCATCTCCCTCCTCTCAATCCACTCATCTCCCTCCTCTCACTCCACTCATCTCCCTCCTCTCACTCCACTCATCTCCCTCCTCTCAATCCACTCATCTCCCTCCTCTCACTCCACTCATCTCCCTCCTCTCAATCCACTCGTCTTCCTCTCTCACTCTTCTCATCTCCCTCCTCTCACTCCACTCATCTCCCTCCTCTCACTCCACTCATCTCCCTCCTCTCAATCCACTCATCTCCCTCCTCTCAATCCACTCATCTCCCTCCTCTCACTCTTCTCATCTCCCTCCTCTCACTCCACTCATCTCCCTCCTCTCAATCCACTCGTCTTCCTCTCTCACTCTTCTCATCTCCCTCCTCTCACTCCACTCATCTCCCTCCTCTCACTCCACTCATCTCCCTCCTCTCACTCCACTCATCTCCCTCCTCTCACTCCACTCATCTCCCTCCTCCCACTCCACTCATCTCCCTCCTCTCACTCCACTCATCTCCCTCCTCTCACTCCACTCATCTCCCTCCTCTCACTCCACTCATCTCCCTCCTCTCAATCCACTCATCTCCCTCTCTCACTCCACTCATCTCCCTCCTCTCACTCCACTCATCTCCCTCCTCTCACTCCACTCATCTCCCTCCTCCCACTCCACTCATCTCCCTCCTCTCACTCCACTCATCTCCCTCCTCTCACTCCACTCATCTCCCTCCTCTCACTCCACTCATCTCCTCCTCTCCTCCACTCATCTCCCTCCTCTCAATCCCTCATCTCCCTCCCTCTCACTCCACTCATCTCCCTCCTCTCAATCCACTCGTCTTCCTCTCTCACTCTTCTCATCTCCCTCCTCTCACTCCACTCATCTCCCTCCTCTCACTCCACTCATCTCCCTCCTCTCAATCCACTCATCTCCCTCCTCTCAATCCACTCATCTCCCTCCTCTCACTCTTCTCATCTCCCTCCTCTCACTCCACTCATCTCCCTCCTCTCAATCCACTCGTCTTCCTCTCTCACTCTTCTCATCTCCCTCCTCTCACTCCACTCATCTCCCTCCTCTCACTCCACTCATCTCCCTCCTCTCAATCCACTCATCTCCCTCCTCTCACTCCACTCATCTCCCTCCTCTCAATCCACTCGTCTTCCTCTCTCACTCTTCTCATCTCCCTCCTCTCACTCCACTCATCTCCCTCCTCTCACTCCACTCATCTCCCTCCTCTCAATCCACTCATCTCCCTCCTCTCAATCCACTCATCTCCCTCCTCTCACTCCACTCATCTCCCTCCTCTCAATCCACTCATCTCCCTCCTCTCACTCCACTCATCTCCCTCCTCTCACTCCACTCATCTCCCTCCTCTCACTCCACTCATCTCCCTCCTCTCACTCCACTCATCTCCCTGCTCTCAATCCACTCATCTCCCTCCTCTCACTCCACTCATCTCCCTCCTCTCACTCCACTCATCTCCCTCTCTCACTCCACTCATCTCCCTCCTCTCACTCCACTCATCTCCCTCTCACTCCACTCATCTCCCTCCTCTCACTCCACTCATCTCCCTCCTCTCACTCCACTCATCTCCCTCCTCTCACTCCACTCATCTCCCTCCTCTCACTCCACTCATCTCCCTGCTCTCAATCCACTCATCTCCCTCCTCTCACTCCACTCGTCTTCCTCTCTCACTCCACTAATCTCCCTCTCACTCCACTCATCTCCCTCCTCTCACTCCACTCATCTCCCTCTCACTCCACTCATCCCTCCTCCTCACTCCACTCATCTCCCTCCCTCACTCCACTCATCTCCCTCCTCTCACTCCACTCATCTCCCTCCTCTCACTCCACTCATCTCCCTCCTCTCACTCCACTCATCTCCCTCCTCTCACTCCACTCATCTCCCTCCTCTCACTCCACTCATCTCCCTCCTCTCACTCCACTCATCTCCCTCCTCTCACTCCACTCATCTCCCTCCTCTCACTCCACTCGTCTTCCTCTCTCACTCCACTCATCTCCCTCTCACTCCACTCATCTCCCTCTCTCACTCCACTCATCTCCCCTCTCACTCCACTCATCTCCCTCTCACTCCACTCATCTCCCTCCTCTCACTCCACTCATCTCCCTCCTCTCACTCCACTCATCTCCCTCCTCTCACTCCACTCATCTCCCTCCTCTCACTCCACTCATCTCCCTCCTCTCACTCCACTCATCTCCCTCCTCTCACTCCACTCATCTCCCTCCTCTCACTCCACTCATCTCCCTCCTCTCACTCCACTCATCTCCCTCCTCTCACTCCACTCATCTCCCTCCTCTCACTCCACTCATCTCCCTCCTCTCACTCCACTCATCTCCCTCCTCTCACTCCACTCATCTCCCTCCTCTCACTCCACTCATCTCCCTCCTCTCACTCCACTCATCTCCCTCCTCCCACTCCACTCATCTCCCTCCTCTCACTCCACTCATCTCCCTCCTCCCACTCCACTCATCTCCCTCCTCTCACTCCACTCATCTCCCTCCTCTCACTCCACTCATCTCCCTCCTCTCACTCCACTCATCTCCCTCCTCTCACTCCACTCATCTCCCTCCTCTCAATCCACTCATCTCCCTCCTCTCACTCCACTCATCTCCCTCCTCTCACTCCACTCATCTCCCTCCTCTCAATCCACTCATCTCCCTCCTCTCACTCCACTCATCTCCCTCCTCTCAATCCACTCGTCTTCCTCTCTCACTCTTCTCATCTCCCTCCTCTCACTCCACTCATCTCCCTCCTCTCACTCCACTCATCTCCCTCCTCTCAATCCACTCATCTCCCCTCCTCTCAATCCACTCATCTCCCTCCTCTCACTCTTCTCATCTCCCTCCTCTCACTCCACTCATCTCCCTCCTCTCAATCCACTCGTCTTCCCTCTCTCACTCTTCTCATCTCCCTCCTCTCACTCCACTCATCTCCCTCCTCTCACTCCACTCATCTCCCTCCTCTCACTCCACTCATCTCCCTCCTCTCACTCCACTCATCTCCCTCCTCCACTCCACTCATCTCCCTCCTCTCACTCCACTCATCTCCCTCCTCTCACTCCACTCATCTCCCTCCTCTCACTCCACTCATCTCCCTCCTCTCAATCCACTCATCTCCCTCTCTCACTCCACTCATCTCCCTCCTCTCACTCCACTCATCTCCCTCCTCTCACTCCACTCATCTCCCTCCTCCCACTCCACTCATCTCCCTCCTCTCACTCCACTCATCTCCCTCCTCTCACTCCACTCATCTCCCTCCTCTCACTCCACTCATCTCCCTCCTCTCACTCCACTCATCTCCCTCCTCTCAATCCACTCATCTCCCTCCTCTCACGTCCACTCATCTCCCTCCTCTCAATCCACTCGTCTTCCTCTCTCACCTCTTCTCATCTCCCTCCTCTCACTCCACTCATCTCCCTCCTCTCACTCCACTCATCTCCCTCCTCTCAATCCACTCATCTCCCTCCTCTCAATCCACTCATCTCCCTCCTCTCACTCTTCTCATCTCCCTCCTCTCACTCCACTCATCTCCCTCCTCTCAATCCACATCGTCTTCCTCTCTCACTCTTCTCATCTCCCTCCTCTCACTCCACTCATCTCCCTCCTCTCACTCCACTCATCTCCCTCCTCTCATCAACTCATCTCCCTCCTCTCACTCCACTCATCTCCCTCCTCTCAAATCCACTCGTCTTCTCTCTCACTCTTCTCATCTCCCTCCTCTCACGTCCACTCATCTCCCTCCTCTCACTCCACTCATCTCCCTCCTCTCAATCCACTCATCTCCCTCACTCCACTCATCTCCCTCCTCTCAATCCACTCATCTCCCTCCTCTCAATCCACTCATCTCCCTCCTCTCACTCCACTCATCTCCCTCCTCTCACTCCACTCATCTCCCTCCTCTCACTCCACTCATCTCCCTCCTCTCACTCCACTCATCTCCCTGCTCTCAATCCACTCATCTCCCTCCTCTCACTCCACTCATCTCCCTCCTCTCACTCCACTCATCTCCCTCTCTCACTCCACTCATCTCCCTCCTCTCACTCCACTCATCTCCCTCTCACTCCACTCATCTCCCTCCTCTCACTCCACTCATCTCCCTCCTCTCACTCCACTCATCTCCCTCCTCTCACTCCACTCATCTCCCTCCTCTCACTCCACTCATCTCCCTGCTCTCAATCCACTCATCTCCCTCCTCTCACTCCACTCGTCTTCCTCTCTCACTCCACTAATCTCCCTCTCTCACTCCACTCATCTCCCTCCTCTCACTCCACTCATCTCCCTCTCACTCCACTCATCTCCCTCCTCTCACTCCACTCATCCCCTCCTCTCACTCCACTCATCTCCCTCCCTCTCACTCCACTCATCTCCCTCCTCTCACTCCACTCATCTCCCTCCTCTCACTCCACTCATCTCCCTCCTCTCACTCCACTCATCTCCCTCCTCTCACTCCACTCATCTCCCCTCCTCTCACTCCACTCATCTCCCTCCTCTCACTCCACTCATCTCCCTCCTCTCACTCCACTCATCTCCTCTCTCACTCCACTCATCTCCTCTCTCACTCCCTCATCTCCCTCTCTCACTCCACTCATCTCCCTCCTCTCACTCACTCATCTCCCTCTCACTCCACTCATCTCCCTCCTCTCACTCCACTCATCTCCCTCCTCTCACTCCACTCATCTCCTCCTCTCACTCCACTCATCTCCCTCCTCTCACTCCACTCATCTCCTCCTCTCACTCCACTCATCTCCCTCCTCTCACTCCACTCATCTCCCTCCTCTCACTCCACTCATCTCCTCCTCTCACTCACTCATCTCCCTCCTCTCACTCCACTCATCTCCCTCCTCTCACTCCACTCATCTCCCTCCTCTCACTCCACTCATCTCCCTCCTCTCACTCCACTCATCTCCCTCCTCGCATACTCCATCCTCATCTCCTCCTCTCACTCCCTCATCTCCCTCCTCTCACTCCACTCATCTCCCTCCTCTCACTCCACTCATCTCCCTCCTCTCACTCCACTCAGCTCCCTCCTCTCACTCCACTCATCTCCCTCCTCTCACTCCACTCATCTCCCTCCTCTCACTCCACTCATCTCCTCTCCCTCCTCTCACTCCACTCATCTCCCTCCTCTCACTCCACTCATCTCCCTCCTCTCACATCCACTCATCTCCCTCCTCTCACTCCACTCATCTCCCTCCTCTCACTCCACTCATCTCCCTCCTCTCACTCCACTCATCTCCCTCTCACTCCACTCATCTCCCTCCTCTCACTCCACTCATCTCCCTCCTCTCACTCCACTCATCTCCCTCCTCTCACTCCACTCATCTTCCTCTCAATCCACTCATCTCTCACTTCACTCATCTTCCTCCTACCCCAGACTCTTACTAGCCTATTTATATATTCTCAATATGGCAATACAGGTAGTCCTCTACTTAGGATGGAGATGCGTTACGACGACCCCATCGTAAGTCGAAAATATCGTAAGTCGAAGATGGCCTAGCCTACCCAGGAGTCTTAAAGAATGGTGATAATTTAGCAAAACAGAGCAATTTACAGTACCGTACTATATAAACTATATACTGTAGGTATTCATTAATTACAATACTGTATTGCACAGTAAATGTAAAGTAAAAAAAAAACAAGGTAAATTTTTAGCCTACCTATATGAACTTCAATTTAATAGAAAGTTTTTTCAGGAAACAATCCTATCTGCTATAAAAAGTTTAACATGCATTGAACGTATCGTATCATGGTAACCTTAAAATGAAATCGCTAAAGCTACATATCATACATGCATTGAACGTATCGTAACGTATCATATTGTACTGTACTCAACAATATTATGTCCGTCGTCTGCATGCATACTTGAACGATGTTAGGTTGTTGATGGCAATTTTGTCGTATCGCTATCGCCATTGTAAGATCGAAATATCGTAAGTCAGACCATCGTTACTCGGGGACTACCTGTATATTCATGAGCTAAATGCAAATGTCCAGGTCTACTTGCCACGAGAGGGCTTCAGGACAGAGTCTGTGTAGTTTTGTTATTCCTCTGTTGAAGGAGCACAGACTACAGTGGTTTACTATATGGTCCATTACTTGGGCTGCATAGCCACAGTTGCACCTTGGCTTGTCTTTAATAATTATCCATGAAGAAAGGAGATGTGTGCATCAGTGTGTTGATGTTCTGATATGGTCGATGGGTTGCACCGGTGTCTTCGAGGAGGAATGCCAAAGCCAGGAGGTGCAATGTTTGGGTCTCAAATGAGTTTTATTCTGGACATTCGCGTTCTTCAACTCTGTTCGCCAGCATTCTTCCGGGTCTGGGTGATATTCTAGGATGGTGACAGCGCAATTCTAGAGGAACATTTTTGAGGTCTTGGTTGATGGGGAGGTTGTTGTTGTCAAGAAAATGTGTAAACTCCCTTGCAGTTTGCACGATGTGTCTGTGGATATTTGGTGGCAGAATGTTCACCGGGAAAGGGGAACAGGGGAATTGTGTTGGTTTAAATGTTCCGGTTTCCATGTGAATTGCGTTATTTAGTTGTGTTCTATCAGTTTTGAGTCTGTGAATGATAGCATCGAATTAGTATGGCTACAAAATGTGTTTTTCATGCACAAATGTCTCCCAAAAAATATAGCATGCTTTTTTACTTTAAACCAACACATCTAAGTGTACGCCTTTTGGTATACTCCATAAAAACCACTTGATCATGTATAAATCCACACAAAAGTTACTTGAGTAATTGTAATTGCTCAGAGTTGCCTAAAGGCTCACCGTGACCGGAAGGCAACAGGGACCTTTGGTATTGTAATGACCTCTGTATGCTCTGTGACCTTGAGCCTAGGTCAAAAAGACTGAGCGAACAAATTCACCACGCTCATCACAACGAGCAGTGCGGTGCCTGGTGGACACGAGGCACTCGTGCACATAGTGTGGCACAGACACTTCACCTGCACATCAGAGAGGAGTGAACAGGGAGATGAGTGGGGTAAGAGGAGGGAGATAAGTGGATTGGGTGGCAATAGAGCGGTTGTAGCAGAAACCACGCAGTGCCCGTACGCGCACTGATAGTCTTGATGAGTGTGCACGGTGCATCAATATCCCTGAGATTGGCGATAACACATTGTGTGTATTCTCGTACACAGTGCTGTGAGCCCTCCCCTTGCTGTAGCGGTGTCTGCTGGGGCCGTGTGCCCCACCCGTGGGCTGCTGCCCCTCGCTGCCTCTCGGTGCTGATGGCCGTCGTGGTTTTGTTGTTCCCTACCCAGACAGAGCAAGAGCTGATAAAGGAAAAAGAAGCCAAAGGTGAGGCCTGTGTGTGTGCATCACGGAGACGTGCTGCCGTAAGGGTTTGTACAAAGCTTGCAGTGTGGACTAAGAGAGGCATGCACACTGCGTTATCATTCAGGGATTTAACCAGAGCCCAGATGATTAGGTAAAGGTGAAGCACTGCAATTGCTTGCTCATGCTACTTCTGGCAGAGGGGCTTCCACTAGAGGGAGCTCTAGTGAGCTTATGTAGATGGTATTTGGCCTCCTCTTCCATGCAGGCCAGGCATTGTCGAAACGGTGGGAAGTACGATTCGCATGGTTGGCTACGTACAGTGCGAAAAGAAGTTCAGCATACATACCCACACTTTACCCCACCACACACGACCTCCTAGTGTACCTTTTATACTGAGAGTTTGGGGAATTAAGAAACCTGCAATTGTTTAAACGACCAAGCTGAAGGATCAAATCGAACCGGCAAGATCTGGATAGTCCACTGTGTCAACCATTACACCACAGCAGCATCGCCAAGTTGGTTATTCGACGAAGAATTGTAGTAGACTACTTTTTTGTGGTCGATGATTCATGTCTCCAAAAAATGGCACTGATCCACATTCTGCCTCTTGAAGGCAGAAACCTCCTAATGCCACGATCAGATTGGTGCAGCAGAACATGCCAATGACTTCACCAAACCCCATACACCAGCTCCTGTCCAGCAGCACACATGGTTTCAGATTTTTTCCTAAACATTTTCATATCCAAACATCTAAATAATCAAACCGAGAATTGGTAGATGTATCTGTTATTTTAATAGTCGAATAGCCCAGCTCCAGCCTTCACTAAACCAATGCCATAGTAATGAGTAATACTTTTTAGAGTTGGTGTCAGCTATCAGAAAGAAAGCTTTAATTCACATCAGAGGAGCCACAGCAGCTGTAATCTACCAGGCATCAGACTTGAAGGCAAAATACCTGAGTGTACTGTGTGTGGTTAAGCATCGTCGCGTGAACACAGCAAATTAAATGCACACATGCTCATCACACACAGAACAACGATGCTCCAGTGAAGCACTTTGACAACAGCAGCGCCATACAAGAATGTATGTTTTCCCTTGCCCTGTCTGTCCCATAGTGCCCTTCTCTTCCTTAACACCCTCTCGATATACTTATCAGTTTCTTTATAAATACAGATAGTTTATTGTGTTCACATGACGTACTGGCACTTGTGTGTGCTGTTAAACAACACGTAATGGAGCCATATGATATAAGTAGCTATTTTACATCAGACACCACTATGACAAACTTACCTTGCCCGTCTTGTCTGTGATATTTGCTTCTGAACTAACAATGCGGCTGGATTTTCAACAGAGTGGGAATTGAAGACAAAGGCCGGCCCAGTTGGGAAGATCATCCGTGAGCTTAGGAGGCTCTCCACGTGAGTGACCCTTACAGCACGTGGCACCGATTCCTTACAGTACGTGGCACCGATTCTGTACAGCACGTGGCACCGACTCCTTACAACACATGGCACCGATTCCTTACAGCACATGGCATGATCCCTTACAACACGTAGCACCGATTTCTTACAGCACGTGGCGCTGGTTCATTACAGCACGTGGCGCTGGTTCATTACAGCACGTGGTACTAATTCCGCACAAAACGTGCCACAGATTCCTTACAGCACTTGCCACCGATTTCTTACAGCACGTGACACTGATTCCTTACAGCTTGTGACACTGATTCCTTACAGCACGTGGCACTGATTCCTTACATCACGTGACACTGATTCCTTACAGCTTGTGACACTGATTCCTTACAGCACGTGACACTGATTCCTTACAGCACGTGACACTGATTCCTTACAGCACGTGGCACTGATTTCTTACAGCACGTGACACTGATTCCTTACAGCTTGTGACACTGATTCCTTACAGCACGTGACACTGATTCCTTACAGCTTGTGACACTGATTCCTTACAGCACGTGGCACTGATTCCTTACATCACGTGACACTGATTCCTTACAGCACGTGGCACTGATTCCTTACAGCTTGTGACACTTATTCCTTACAGCTTGTGACACTGATTCCTTACAGCACCTGGCACTGATTCCTTAAAGCACGTGGCACGGATTAATTATTTTTGTAATTTTCCACAGCGTTTTAAAATGTTTCTAACTATGGTTGAAAGCGTTTATTCATAGCTCTGCCCATCCATCTGTCCAACTGTTGTCGCAGGGGATTAAAATAACTTGTAAATATGATGCTAACTGAACAACATGTCAGAATAAATATTCTTTGGGTATTTCGGTAAAATCACATAGATAGGTTCAAAATTAATGGTTGCTTGTGTTGCGATCGAAACATCGTGGTTTTTTTGTTGTTTATTAATTTTGAACCTATCTATGTGATTTTACCGAAAGACCCAAAGAATATGAATTCCTGCAGTCACGAAAGCTTTAAGTAAAAATGTCAGCATGAATTTGTATTGCTATTAGGGATGTATCCTTCAGAAAGCAGAGGCACATTGATGAAACGTTTCTCAAAAACTCGGTGATTCAAACATTCTGTGTAAATGTATTTATCCCATGACAATGACGTAATGTGCAACATGCTATTCACAGATTTAAAGCTTTCGTGACTGCAGGGATTCATCTTCTTGGTTCTTTCGGTAAAGTCACGTAGAAGGGAAGTAATAAAATAATAAAAATTAAACATAATAAAATAATTCTCACGACGTTTCGGCCACAACGCAAGCAGCCGTCCTCAGGTGAAAACTAAGTCTGTCGGGGAGACAGCGTCTGAATGAAACAACACACGAGCTTGGAGCATATATATAAGCTGGGTTGGAATGGGGGGAAAGGGCGCTTCGACAAAAGAATTTGCATATCAAGAGGAATTTAGCATATTTATGGGAAATGCAGGAATGTGATTAGTACTACATATGCCTGTGCATTATGCAGGATTAGCAGCATCAAAGGGAGGGGATATGGGAAATGCAGGTATGTGAATAGTACTAATTATGCCCGTGTATTATGCAGGATTAGCAGCATCAATGGGAGGGGATAGGGGTAGCATTAATAAAGGGAAGGAGTGTTAATAGTATGTAGCTGCAGTAACTAAAACCAACACATAAACAACTAAAGTATAAACTACATAGTATCATCAGTATACTAACTATACTCTACAATAAGCTGAGTTACTAACAGTAAGTAATACATTACAATTCTACGTCGTAAAAATTATATAATATGCTTCCATCTAAACTTTATTCTCTTACATCACACGAGTCTACACCGTACTATATACTGCCATAGACAAACCCAACATTAAATTATATACTGTATTGCTATAAACCACACTATACCTTATACATTTTAATATAACACTATGTATTATTCTACCCACCCTAATGTGTATCACACTGCTATATGTTTACTATACAATTACGATACTATATATTACTTTGAACATTGTATTAAGCATATAAATGTTATACTATTTGTTATTATACACTGTACCATTGACCGTCGTGTCAATGGGTGAGTAGTGGGAGGAAACTTGCAGCGGAGCAAAGAATCCATTCCCTGCGGAGAATGCAATGCCAGTGAGTGGAACGCGGTCTGAAAGTCACCGTAAACGTGAACTACCATGAGAGATTCGTTCATGAGGCGATCCACATATACAAACACAGAGACAATTTCAACCGAGAAGATGGATTATGGCTTAGCAATCATTGGAAGGACGTAATAAACCATTTCGGATCTTAACTGATTGTGTTCACGTTTACGGTGACTTTCAGACCGCGTTCCACTCACTGGCATTGTATTCTCCGCAGGGAATGGATTCTTTGCTCCGCTGCAAGTTTCCTACCACTACTGACCTATTGACACGACGGTGGTTTATAGCAATACAGTATATAATTTAATGTTGGGTTTGTCTATGGCAGTATATAGTACGGTGTAGACTCGTGTGATGTAAGAGAATAAAGTTTAGATGGAAGCATATTATATAATTTTTACGACGTAGAATTGTAATGTATTACTTACTGTTAGTAACTCAGCTTATTGTAGAGTATAGTTAGTATACTGATGATACTATGTAGTTTATACTTTAGTTGTTTATGTGTTGGTTTTAGTTACTGCAGCTACATACTATTAACACTCCTTCCCTTTATTAATGCTACCCCTATCCCCTCCCTTTGATGCTGCTAATCCTGCATAATACACGGGCATAATTAGTACTATTCACATACCTGCATTTCCCATATCCCCTCCCTTTGATGCTGCTAGTCCTGCATAATGCACAGGCATATGTAGTACTAATCACATTCCTGCATTTCCCATAAATATGCTAAATTCCTCTTGATATGCAAATTCTTTTGTCGAAGCGCCCTTTCCCCCCCTTCCAACCCAGCTTATATATATGTTCCAAGCTCGTGTGCTGTTTCATTCAGACGCTGTCTCCCCGACAGACCTGAGGATGGCTGCTTGCATTGTGGCCGAAACGTCGTGAGAATTATTTTATTATGTTTTATTTTTATTATTTTATTACTTCCCTTCTACGTGACTTTACCGAAAGAACCAAGAAGATGCTATTCACCATTGCATCACGACACGCGATGTCATCTCACAACGGCACATGCTATGTGGTGTCATCTTGTTATCTGGTGCAAAAGATAATGTTATTCAACATCAGCTTTGACAAATCTACTGCTGAATGAAGGCCTCCCCAAGCAACCCTCATCTCTCAGGCTCGTGCGATGTAATAATCCACCTAACCTGAGTACACAAGCTGACTTTATTCATCCGCATCCCCAGTGAATGTACTCTTAGATCCATTGGCTGCAACTCTATCATTATTTATGACCATGTGTCATGCCCAAGCCCACTTAAGTTTCTTTTAAGTTTCTTAATAGTCAATATGATGTAATTAACCTGTGTATGTCTTCTCATCCCTGTGTTATGTTTTATATTGGTCAGTCTACTTCCAAGTATACATCTCTCCATGCTTCTATCTGCATTTTTCTGTTTTTGTTTACTTTTCTTTTGTGAATGTCCATGCTACCGATTCATGTCATAGCCAGGAATGAGCATTCATGAAAACATACTCTGAGGACAAACTCTTGTTGGAAAGCATTACAGATCACATGCACATGCACGAGTTGTCTTCCTTGTTAAGCAAATAAATTGCGCTGCAGGTGGCTTATCTGAGAGATTCCATTGCAGGTATTTCTCATCCACATTGAGCCCCTGCGGCCATGGCTGTTTCCAGTGTGGCCCAGCTAAAAGAGATGGAGTGGCTCCCTGAGTAATTAGCAAGATGGTGGGGGACGGGAGGGGGGAGGTGGGTGATGGCAGGAGGGGGGGGGGGAATAAGGAGGAGATGGGGAGCGTGTTAAGGGATGGGGGTGCATAGGAAGATAACATGAGGTCATGAAAGGCAAATGCAGTCGGTTAATACAGACCTCGCACCCACTTGTTCTGCTCATGCTCTCTAGTTTCACATTTATTTTACATTTAATTACACTCTTCCAGCCTGCCAGATAATTACCCCAGCCATTCACATCTAGTGATTCTCAGATTTCCAACTCAGCCTCATGGTGATGGTCACTGCTTAGTCCACACAATCAGTCCCTGAGATACTGCATATGGAAAGCTTGTACCTCATCTGAGTCACCTTCAGCATAGTCCATAGCATTGTCCAGAGTCAGCATAGTCGAGATTGGTAACATTTGATCACTAATAGCTTTGTCAAATGCCTTAGAGCACATAGCCACGATTCAGTTAATTCAGATGCAGAAGAGGGCCAAGGCACGGATGCCATCTTGTTGGATGCCCAATGGTATCATGAACTATCCAGATAAGTTCCTACCCATCCAGATGAGATGAACCAGGAAAGGTGGAGTTCCCATGGCTCTCAACGCCTTCCATAATGCCTCTCTCTCCACAGAGTTGAAGGCAGCCTTTACGTCGATGTATGCGATGGGTTAAACTCACCTTGGAGCTCAGAGAAGACGCAGGCCCAAAACTACATCCATCACTCTGGTGCATGGATGAGACTCGTCAATCTGGTAGACCGAGTCCTCGACATGTGTGGAGGAATCAATGAGTAAAGTTCATGGAAACAGTAACAATGCTTTGAGCAATAAGAGACTGATAAGGAGGGGACTGAAAACCAGAGAGCGAGGGACTGGCGTGAATCAGTGAGTGCAAGACTATCAATCAACCTGACCCAAGTACAGTGAACTATAATCCAGATATGACAACAGTATTTCCAACTCTGGCTGAATTTGTGTGTTGTATAGTCGCAACAGACGAGGCTGTGTTACTCCTGAGTCACGCTCCGTGTTGTCTCACAGGTGTGATGACTGCACTGTGACTCACCTGGAGAAGCTGCTGGAGCTGTAAGATGAAGCTGTGTTACTCCTGGGTCCCGCTCTGTGTTGTCGCACAGGTATGACGGTTCCACGGTGCCACGCCTGGAGAAACTGCTGGAGCTGCTGTCTTCTGATTGCTCAGCGCAGGAGAAGGAGGCGCTGCATACGGCTTACAGGGATGAATTTGGTCCATGTG